TGTATAATGTTTTGTTGTGTTATCCATGAATGTTCAGGAACGATGTGAAAAAAAGAATAGACTGTCTCCTTACTACAGAAGATAATGGAGAATAATCAATCTGTTAGTTTTGCAGGAATCAACTCCCCTTTACAGTAACTGAGCTTTCCTTGAAAACGAGTTATGTTATGCGATGACTCACTTATGTTATGTAATAAATGAAGGTATGTTCTGTGAAAACGAAATGTGATGTCAACTTTTAACCGTTATTTACCGTGAGACGATTATTGTTGAGTCCAACAACGGTTATCATGATACATGACAAACCCACCCTCGATTTCCTCTGATTATACTGACTTTAAAAGTGTTCCAAGTTTTCCCTAAACTGTCTTGCACAGGTGTGGTATGAAAAAATTGTGTCGACACCAATCGGTGAGTTTACTCATAAACAATCAGAGAGGAGGCCACAGTGTCAGGGTTGGAAGTTTCAGTTGACTCCATTAATTTACCAGGAGCACTGAGTAATGAAATACCGCGGTAATTGAGTTTATCGGTCTCTTCGTCTTCTTTGTACATGGGTATAACATCAGCTGTTTTCCATTTGGTGGGAACAACCTTGCGGTTAGCGCTTTAAACGGAGTTAGGAAAGAAGGGAATATAGCTGTTTTGGCCGGCTTCGAAAGTTTGGACTAAAACGTTTATCACAAAATGAATGTATAGAATGTTATAGAATCAACATCCTCTGCAAGTAACTAAACTCTCCTTATAATATCAAGCGTTGTTATGTAATAAATGAATAAATGTTATATAAGAACTAGATGAGTGATATCCGTTCTCAACTGTTATTTACCCTTCTACCCTTTAGTTCCCAGAGGTGATTAACATGTGACTTCTCCCTATAATATCCAAACATTATCCAGCAAACATGTAATGAGAAAACTGAGACTTATCAGGTAGAAGTTATTATCATGATCTAACACCAAATTCTTTGTAACTAATTTACAGGAAAACGTTTAGCAGCTAGAAAGTAAAATTAACAGTTATATCTCGTAAGTAATGGATACACGAATTTTGAAAACGTTATTAGTGTCTAGAATGGCACAAAGAAAACTTAGGTCCATGACATTGTCAAAAACAATCCATCAGTGGCTAATTACTCAAATAATTAGAACCAATTCATGTGGGGCTTTTTTTAAATTTTTGTTTGTCATAGTGATAACAATAATATTTGTAGAATTATTACCTGTATAGGATTATATAAACAGCTAACGGACAAGCTGGTGTTTTTGAGTTTGTCATTGATTTGTACTTATACATTCTAAAGAACTACCGAAGGACCGAAGAACGACTCTAAATTCTACTGAAGATTTCAGTTTCCTGGAATCAAACATGGCCACTCAAGAAAGAAAAAGCTCAAAAATGAAGTTCTGGCCTCTCTGTAAAGTAAAAGGTTGGAGAATCAGAAATTCATTCAAGATTCGCAAGAATAAAGTAACAAAACTAGCAGTGGAGAACACCGAGCCTTCTCCACAGGAAGATAACTTGATTTCGGAACCAACTTTCGCTTCCTTGTCTCCATTTTTCAACTATCATCCTGAAAAGAGCGTATCGCTAGACGGTCGAACTAAGAGAGAACTGCAGGAACATTTCATTTATTGTCAAGGGATAGTATTGACGACAGCTGCTAAAGAACTGACGGACGAAAAGTGGTGTTTGTTATTCGAAGACATTTTCAAGCCTCTCGACTTTTATTACATTTTAAACCAACGGAGTAAATTGCTCCCTTCAGGGACCTGTGATAATTTTTGGTAGTTTTTTTGTGTGTTGAAATAATTGACACACTTGGTTTTGATTTGGTTAACTGAATACTGTTATCATAGAAATGACAAAATAATGCTAGGGGTACTTTGATAATGCAACATGCGTAAGTATATTGTTTGAACTATTAGAGGGATAAATCGTTCTACAGCAAATGTTGCACAGGTACCACACCCTTCAGAGGTCATATTGTTGGCAGTTTACAGTAAGTGGTGTAATTTCTGTCAAATAAAATTTTTTGTGGAAGCTTAAAGTCAATAGTTCGTCGGAGCAAGTTTTAGTTTCGCCAGATAATCGACTGTTTGGGCAAGTCCGTGAATTTATGCAATTTACGGGTCTCAACACTAGAGACGCAAAGGTTCTCGCTTGAAATAAAAAATATGCTATTAATTCAATGTTACAGCAAAAATAAGACTTCATTGTAGTTTCTAATATTTCAAATGAAAAATAAACATTCATTATGCTCTACTTTGTCGCCTTGTTTTCTCCCTTGTCTCTCTTTCCTTTTTGGGTGGAGAGAGTTAGGACTGGTACGAGAAAAAATAAGAAAAGGAGTGCGTTGCTTAGTAAAAGGACAGATGAGTTAATACACGTACGAGCTGATAATTTTCTGATTTTTCAGATAACAAGGGCCTAATCTGTTGAGTTCGTATGGAATTAATACATGGCATAGATTTAATTCCTTGTTTTTTTTCCCCTCAAGATTTCACGGCCTTTGTTTTTTAAATGTGATAGCAACATTGACAAGCATTTATGCTGACGATGTTTTTCAGTCTGGTCGCAGAACGAGTGTGTTTTAAGTTCGTTCTTTGGTTCCCTTATAAAGTAGTGTTATGAGGTTTAATTAATATTTCTCTATTTCTTGTTCTTTGGTTCCTTTTAAAATCATTTCTTTGATGTTGCCCTTTTCTAAGCTCATAAAACTAATATGCCAGCTTACCTCGCACTAATGTAATCAGTTTTTATTTGACAAAAAAATCACAAGGTTCCTTTGCAACAGAACATATCAATAACACAGTCTGAGTGTACACAATTAAAAACACTTCAAGTTAATTCAACCTTCCAAAAATTAATTAAGGCTGCTACATTATAAGGAAACGTTCTCCATATGGTTGCATGATCCATTATAGCTAGCGTGACTTGATTTGAGCTGATATTTAAGGCTAAATTCAATCATTATTTCTAGATTTTAAATTTTTTTATACATCTCCAACGATGCGCAAACCGGGAATGTGTGGAGTATACACAACAAATCCGGCAGCACTACAAGGCTCTACACATTGAAAGCTTTGCTTTGACCTCAGCTAAGGTAAGTTAAGGAGTTGCCACCCAAAAATTTCTACTGTTATTTGATATCGCAATTTAATCCAAAAAAGACTACACTTTCGACAAGCCTTTTCCAGTTTAAGATTGTACGTGTTTGTAAAACAAGTAATCTTAATAAAAACGATTAAAATGTCCAAAGCACGGAAACATGGCGCTTATCAAATCCATCAATAAAGTATAGTCCTCAATGGGTGGCTGGAGGGCGTTCGATTCTCGATCTTTGTTTCTTGGACGGGACGTCGCAATGTTTCGGTTTGTTCCGTGGTATCGTAGTTCTAAGCAGAACAAATTAAAGAAAGGATGTGTTAATCATTTTACATTTCAGATAATAAACGTCTCAGGGGCTATGCAGATGAGTTATTGTGTTGGTGAAATTAATTACGAGTAAGAGAGAGATGCGTTTGGATTTATACAGAAATAGATTAGTTTTCCAACAGTACTTTCAATACCAAGTCAGATTAATTAACATTTTAGCCGTATAAAAGAAACAAAATAAAACATACGGATTTCAATTTCGACAAGCCTTTTTCAATTTAAGACTCTACATATTTATTAAATAAGTAATCTCAATAAAAATGATTAAAATGTCCAAAGCACGGAAACATGGCGCTTACCAAATCTATGAATGAAGTATTGCTCACTGGGTGGCTGGAGGGCGTTCGATTCTCGATCCCTGCTTCTTGGACGGGACGTCGTAATGTTTCGGATTGTTCCTCGGTATCGTAGTTCTAGGCAGAGCAAATTAAAGAAAAGATGTGTTAAACATTTTACATTTCAGATTATAAATGTCTCAGAGGCTAAGCAGATGAATTATTGTGTTGGTGAAATTAATTGCGAGTAAGAGAGAGATGCATTTGGATTTGTAAATAAGTAATAAATAAATAAATAATGTTTTTAACAATACACGACACCAAATCAGATTAATTAACATTTTAGAGTAAAACATACAGATTTCAATTTCGACAAGCCTTTTTCAGTTTAAGATTGTACATGTTAATTGAATAAGTAATCTCAATGACATGATTAAAATGTCCAAAGCACGGAAACACGGCGCTTACCAAATCCATCAATGAAGTATTGCTCACTGGATGGCTGGAGGGCGCTTGATTCCCGATCCTTGTTTCTTGGGCGGGACGTTGCAATGTTTCGGTTTGTTCCGTGGTATCGTAGTTCTAAGCAGAACAAATTCAAGAAAGGATGTGTTAAACATTTTACCTTTCACATTACAAACGTCTTAGAGGCTATGCAGATGAGTTATTGTGTTGGTGAAATTCATTGCGAGTAAGAGAGAGATGCATTTGGATTTATACAGAAATAGATTTGTATTTCAACAATACTTTCGACACCAAATCAGATTAATTAACATTTTAGCTGTATAAAAGAAACAAAGTAAAACATACAGATTTCAATTTCGACAAGCCTTTTTCAGTTTAAGATTGTACATGTTAATTGAAAAAGTAATCTCAATAAAAATGATTAGAATTCCCAACCAACGGAAACATGGCGCTTACCAATTCCATCAATGAAGTATTGCTCACTGGGTGACTGGAAGGCGTTTGATTCTCGATCTTTGTTTCTTGGGCGGGACGTCGCAATGTTTCGGTTTGTTCCGTGGTATCGTAGTTCTAAGCAGAACAAATTAAAAAGAGATGTATTAAACATTTTACATTTCAGAGTACATGTAAATGGATAACACAAGTTTGGGCAAACAAAAAATCAGGTTAAGAGGTAAAGTTGGGTTGTAATACAGTTTATTATCTTCTTATTAAGAATAAGTTCTCAGCTGAATTGAAAGGTGGAAACTGGGAACGACTGCTTTTCAGTACAAATAACGGTTGGTGTCCCTGGTAAAATTTCAAGGGTACTAGACTGATACACTATGGGATTTTCCTTAATATTCTACCTTTACATGATGAAGGAATGTCATTCTTTGATTCCTTGCTGACTAAAAAAAAAATTAACCAAAACATGTTCTTGATATACCTCTAGATACAGCAGTTTATTGACCGATGAAGGTACAATGCTTCGGCTTGTTACCGAAAACGGGAACAAGCCGAAACATTGGACCCGCATAGCCTGCTCTCCTCTTGACGCATGTCCTTCTTGCTTTGTTTGCATATGTATAAAAGGCTAGCTATTCTGTTATTCTAAAATGAGTAAAAGAGTCAACGTAAATATTCCCAAGAAACTTGAAAACCTTTTAGCTAACTTACAGATACTTTTTCCTTTTCTTCTTATAGGACTAGAAATAAAACAAGTAATTTGTACCTCTTCAGGTTGCATAGAGCGGATTCCTGGGGGAGGTGATATCTCACGATCCACACGGTTTTTCCCCAACTCTGGAACTTCTGGAAACGAAATCAGATAAACGTAATGTTTGATCATGAGGATAGGAACAAAAGAATGCAGTGCAATTCATTTGAAAAAGATCTTAGATTGCGTATTTTCTGGAAAAAGGTCATTTTCATGATCCTACAGCTAACAACAGGAAAGAGTAACTTGTTTTCATCTGAACGCAGAAAGTAATCGGGGTTTGCATTGTTCCGTTTTTGCTATTGCACGCCTTTTGATTGGTCAAAGGAATCACGCCATCCTCAACCAATCAAAAAAAAAAACTAAAAAGTAATGGTGACTTGATCGTTTACATTTTCCGTGGCTTAGGTCGTTTGCTTGTTTGTCCTCTGATTAGCTCATCGTGATCACTTCCTTATTTCTGAGTGATTCCTCCACTTTTGACTTTACGACACGTAACGGAAATGCGTTTTTGTGTGGTACAAAATAGTCAGGAAGTCATAGTCATTAGAAACTGAAATTTGAAGTTGCCTTCAGAAATGGATAAAGATAACAGGTATTGAGATGACGAGGAGAGCAAACCAGATAGAGCTCCCTCTCAGTGAATGAGAGGTTCAAATGTTGTAACCCACCCTTACCGTCTGATTTTTTTTATAAGATTTCTTCTAAATATTTTCTGGTAGATGTTTAGAAAAGGGTAATGGAAACAAGAAAAAGCAGGAGTAAGAAAAAAGCTCACCTTCAAGGATAACAGAAACGGCTCGTGCATTTCCAATCTTTTTCAGGGCTCTTAAAAGAGTTTCGACGCTTTCACCTCGAAAACAAAGATCATGAAGTAATCCTGACGCGGGGCGGGGACTGCTCTCTATTCTAGCCAACTTTTTGGGGTCAGAATAAATGGATGGAAATCCTTCGGTGGCGAGTACTTTCCAGTCAACTGATGTACCATTCTCTAGCAAACGAGAAAGGCGTTCAATGCATTCCTGGGGTAGCCTATCAATCCTCATATCCTAGAAAAACATAGAGGCATGTAAGTTGCAAAGGCAGCCTGAAAAGGAACTGAAAAGTAGAGGGACCATAAATAAGAATCTCATAGGTCACAGAGGTTTCAAAGAAAACTCCCCTCCCAGCCCCACTGAACTTCTCTTTCGTGAATACCTCCAGCCATAGTTATGTCACTGTGTTCCCACTCAGACGCATATCACGAAATCGTCAGCCAATCAACTCTCGTGTGTCACACACTGCATGGTATGTCACCTAGTACCACGTCACGAAATGATACGAACCGAATGTAGGGTTCTCACTGACAACTGGTCGTTTTCCTTGCACCCTCAGAATCAAGATAGCTTGTCTTCGGGTAAAACATAAAATCACGCGATTTCTTTCCGAGTTTTCTCTCGATGATCAGATATTTGTTGTTTCTTCTAGGGTTTTCCTCATATCCGATAGTAGGCTGCCAAATTATTGATATAATGCACTGATTTTTTACGTGTGTGCCTTCGCGTACATTACAATTTCGTTAACTGAAATTCTATCCCTCCTCAGTTTAATGGAGAATTTCCCGCTAACAAAATTTGCTTCATCATCATTTTTTTACTGGGCTAGACAAAACAGCTTTGGGCTTTTCATCAAAACAGACCAGTCCCTTACGAAATGTCCCTTATAACTGAAATGTTTTAGCAAACTCGCGGCAATGGAAGAGAACGAACGCTGTGTAAAAAGTAAATCCGATAATAAATATTGAAAAGAGGTGATCGCCCGAGCGGAAGCGCGGAAACTTGGTGACAGTGAACACAAACCTGCGTAAATCTTACTATGACTCAAACCTTCAATTTTAGACCTCTATGGTAACGGAAATTCCGAAGCCTCTAAAATCTCTGCTTTTAGTCCTTAAATGTAGATTGTACTTCGATGGGCTGAATCCTGTGAAACGAAAGCAATGTTGAAGAAAAATTTAAGTCTAACAAGAAATTCCGAACGGAATGAAGCCCGTAAATTTGTAACCATGTAAACAGAATACAGAGATTCGTTACGGACATTCACTTAGTGCCATTAGTAATTCCAATTCCACGGTAAACGCAACCTCTAGTATCGAATCTGCATATGTTCACCGGGTATATAGATTTCCAGAAGAATTAGTTTTCGCGGAAAATATACCTATGTATAAGTGACATACAACAAGACTATCTAATCTCTTGTCTCCAAACAGCTCACCACTATTATTTATGCATTCAAATAAATATTGTTTCACTTTGAATGTGGATCCATGTGACTGACTTTATCACATGTACAATTCGCTTCCATTGCATAAAATTTAGTTCAGTGTGTTATGATTTCGAAGGTCGCGAAGCACTGACTCACGCAAATTATTTTTCTTTCCGCGGGGATTACCCTTTTCCAAAATTTGCTTCCTCAGCACATTTTACTAAGACAAAGAACTTACTTGTCCGCGGGGATTACCCTTTTCCAAAATTTGCTTCCTCAGCACATTTTACTAAAACAAACAACTTACTCGTCCGCGGGGATTACCCTTTTCCAAAATTTGCTTCCTCAGCACATTTTACTAAGACAAACAACTTACTTGTCTATTCAGGGCACGAAACGCCTCAAAATGCATAGAAATGTTATATTCTAGGGGGTTTCAGAGATAGCGTAGGTGAAAAAGTTAACAAACATATCAACAAATGCTTTTTCAGAGTTAGTTAACAGTGCGGTTCATGCGATCTTCACCAGTACGTTATGCAACATGAACAAATTTCGTGACCGTACAACTCTCTAGAAAGTTCGCGCTGACGCAGGTGAAAGTTCTAACTTAGAGATTGATCTATACTAAGTAACAACGGATGCTCTTTACAGAATTTTTTAAAATTACGGTGATGCGACCTCGAGGGAATTTATAGAATCAAATATTGCAGAAGCGAAAGAAGTCGTTGTTTTGGTACAACACATGAGTACAAATCTTTGTCTGTCGCAGAATAACATTGGTCAGGTCAAGTTTTATGACGAGATATTTCAGGCTAAAATACACAACAACGAAATTCGCTTCGCAAACAGCTTGAAATCTTTTCAGAGGTTAAAAGAGCGCAAGAATCTAACTACGACGATTACCACAGTAATAAGAAAACTGATTACCTTAGCGAGTCGGCGGCTGAGAGAGAGTCCACAATATCAACTTCGTATGAGAATTTTGTTGGGCCGGGTCGTCTTAGATCTACGATCAAAATTCAAGTACAATGAACATGAATCTTTAACTGTAGTCAACTGAAATTTTCCCTGTATGATTGAATCCCAGAGATAAACCTGAACAACTTGCCCGCCGGTAACAGCTCTGCAAATGCGTGAGCTGAGAGATTGTTTGTATTTAAAGGGTATCCTGGGGGTTTTCCCCTAACTAACTAAACAACCTATCACAGAACGGCAAAGTTTATTTGATTGGTTGAGGAAAGGAAGAACGGATTATATTTAATGGTTTTATTTATAGGGTGTCGAAGGGATTTTTCCCTAATTAACGTAACAGTCTTTCACAGTGCCACGTTTATGTCAAGGGTAATATGATTTGACTGATTTGATTGGTTAAATGAGGAAAGACAGGAATGTAGCCATTTTTGGGCGATTGACTGCGGCCCCAAATAACCTTTGTAAATTAAGAATAGTGAATTTTGTCAACGATGAACTTTAATTTGTAGCACGTGAATGGTCTTTGGATGTCTTAGCCATGATGTAATAATCTGGAGGCAGTGGATGGGAAAGACAGATCCCAGTCTATCCCAGTTTGACTGCTCTCCTACTTACAACCCACTGTTAGAGTAAATCAAATCAAATGAAGTGTTTGTAACTTAGAGGGTAAGTTTCTAAAGAAACTGTGGTGCTGCGTCGGTGGAAGAGTATAGCAGGTAATTTAGTGTTAACAACTGAGTTGAAAACGTAAATTGGCCACCGTAAAGGGTAAAAAAGCTGACGTTTCGAGTGTTAGCCCTTCGTCAGAGCGATGGCGAAGGGCTAACGCTCGAAACGTCAGCTTTTTTACCCTTTACGGTGGCCAATTTACGTTTTCAACTCAGTTGTTAACACTAAATTACCTGTTTGTAACTTAGCTAAGCTGTTCAGAGAAAAAAACGCGAGTAATTAAAGACATTAGAAATAGAGGATTATGATAGATTAGGAAAATCAGAGCGATAAGCTAACCCTGAGCAGGAGCCACCCCTGTCCTAAGCTAATAATATCATGAGTGGATTATCCCAATAAAACACAGAATTTCCTCGCAAAGAATAAGTTTTTGTAAAGCTGAGATCACCACGCGTATTTCACGTGCTCAATTCTGCGTAACCTCTGATCATGTCCTGATGACTACTTGGTACCCTCGATATTTTTTCACGTAACGCTCCCTCATAAGCGTAACGGTCCTTAACGTGGCATGTCGAAACGATCTGCATTCATCGATGTCTCCTTCGTCTTTACGATTTTAGGCGATCAAATAATGTTTTCTTGATGCCCTTAAGTATGAATCTTTACTTAAAGGAGGTTCATATCTCAAAATTTGTCTCAAGTGTTGCAAAAATATTGATTCCAAAATTCTATTTGGACCAACTTCCGGTATTTCGAAGAAAGAGACACACAGAGGAGGCATACATGAATGCGAAAATCATTGTGCGGCTATACGCTGCAAGCACGTGTTGATTATACGGCTCTTATCCAATATGGCGGTTGGATCGGACTTAAAGAACTCAGCTAGTTAGGATAGTTTTTTTACTTCCCTGTTATCATTGTATTCACTTATTCTAATACCTTCCTCTAACAGAAGTATCAGATAATAATGAGAAAAGGAAAAGGAGGTAAGAAAAGCAAAAAGACAGGGAAAGCTGCCAGTAAAAATGTTCCCACGAGAAACGTGCATGTAGACGATGAGATAGTTGAAGAAGACGACGAACTTGACCCTGAAGACTTGGAGTATTTTCAAGATTCCGATAGGAGTTTTGCTTTTTTGCAACAAGTGGAAGCAGAGTAAGTTTCAAGTATAGTGTGATAGATTCGTTTGATGTGTGCGTGTCAGTGATCAAGGAGAAACACTAGAGTCCGTAGGTGTATGGATCTCTAAGAGACCCTTTCAGCTGGAGTGATATAGTTGGTAATTTTAACCATTTGCCCCCTAGGAGTGACTAGCATCTTATTTTTTCCTTCAGTATCACCCCTGAATCACACAATAAGGTCACAAGAACAAAGGAAATGATCACCAAATAAAGGAATTCTTGATTGTTAAACAAATTCTCCTTGTCAGCACCTTAGGAAATGTGAAGAGAACAGTATCAAGAATATGCATACTGATGTTAGGGTGTACACTGTGTAGGGTTGTATGTATTTTGTGCCAATTTTTTGATTCACCAATGTTACTTAGCTCTGGGTATACATTGTGCCCAAGACAACATGAAGCTGATGGGTTATTCTGTCCTGGTTTAGAGTCCCAAGTAGTGGAAAGAAAAGGAAAAGAAAGCAAACTGCTAATGAGGAAAGAGAGGCTGATTATGAGAAGAGGCCTAGGACAGCAACACTGGAGCAGGATCACATGGAAAGAGCTCTATTACCAATCAAAAATAAAGATAGCATTATACACAGAAAAGAGAAGATTCTCAAAACAGGTGCTTGTGCATGCATATTATTTGAACAGATTTGTAAGAGGTACAGTATTCATGGCTTACATATTACAACTCTGATCATCTGACAGGTTCGATTGTCACAAACATTGACATGGTTTCTAAAGGTCTGGGAAGAGTCATGGAATTCATAAATTAACAATTGATTGTTGTCTTACAATTTATAGTCAGGCTATCAATTGTACAGATCATGACAATTCAACTTGGTCCACTCAGTTTGCCATAGAGTCAGTCTAATTCAATGCTCAAAACATCAGCTTTAAAAACTCTTTATGTGCTGATCAATTAAAAGCTTTGACTTCCTCCCCCCTCCCCCAGCAGCCCATGGGCATTTGACAGTTGTCTGTGCCCAACTGGTGGGGAATTTGAACTTTGTCTGGTTGGGGTAGGGAATTTGAACTGGTAGTGTCAAGTCTTTACAGCAGAATACAAGTTTTGTATCTTTAAATTTTGAAGTGTTTAAGTTAAAGAGTTCATTTTCACAACCAAATGGCTCAGAAGAAGAGGTCTTAAAGATATTGGTTTTAAAACTTGGTCAATGTGTAGATCATGCTCGCTGATTTTGCCTTTTAAAAAAATATGAGTGGGGCATTTGAACACAAATTTGGAAAACCAAATCAACTTGAATGATAACTGTCTCTCATTCCCAATTACAGTAGCCCTTACACTAAGGATCTTTACTACCTTAGTAGACCTACCTTCGGCATTTTTGGGGGTACTTGTAACTCTATCCACAGTTCTAACTGTTAATTCCCTTTTTTCTAACTGATTATGTTTTTTCTTATTCAAAAATTGACAAAAATTAAATTTGAACCATGCATTATATTGAGCCAAAACTCATATACAATACAATACTTTTATTTGCCTCTACTTGTTAGTAAAAAAGTTTAGTTTTCACTTTTTTACATTTATCTTGGACTGTAAAATTGTATTACAGATCATTCTCTTCAAAATGGGAATGTGGATTCAGAAGAACAAGCTTCAGAAGTGTCACCAGTCCCTTCAGCTCCTCCACCTGTTTTAAGTATGGTTGAACTCTTTAATCAAAGACGACAGAAGCTTATCCAAAGAAAACTTAGGATTGCTGAGTTGTCAAACAGCATTCTGGAAAACCCTGAAAGCAGTGTAAGTACTCCTCTGGTTGTGAGAGATTTTACAACATGACCTGCAAATATTGCAGTTGAATTGATTGCATGAATTTCAGCAGTTACTTTTTGCCAAAGAATTATTACAGTTCTAATAAATAGAAATCCTTACTAATTAACATTCATTCAAAAGAATCTTAGGGTCCAGAATGGAGGATGATGCATGTAGTAAACTATATATTAAGTTACAGGTTTTCATCAGTGCTCTAATTTTAAAGGTGATTTCAATTCAGAGCTAATTTTTGGCCAAACTCTTTCATAATTGTTTATCAATAATGGTTCAAATTTTCATTGAAAGGAAAATGAAAGTTTTAAATCTTTTCCTTTCTTAAATTGCAATAATACATGTATATGTAGGTGTTGATGACTGAAAAATATGATAACATTGACCCATATTGTTTTTGACATGCATTGGCCATTTATTGCTATTCCCTGTAACTACATGTAGGAACAGTGTCCAAAACCTGTCAGACATTCATCGGAGGGAGATACATGTTTCTTGCAAACCTTTTTTTCTTGGTTTGTATTTTGACATTCAGATCCTTCTGTTTCTCTTTGAAAAACCTGACTGAAAAACCTGACCATTACGTTACAGTTTGGGCCTAAGTCAATTGACTCAGTTTGACTGTATCTTGAGTTGTCAGGTTTTGCAGTTAGCTAAGGAATGGCAAAGGCAAGGTTATTATGCTGCCAGGTTTTACATTAAAATCAAACATGTATGGTTGACAGAAGTGACAAAGAATTGTAAGAAAGCACTTAATATCATGACAATTACTTGCACCAATCTGAAAACTCAACAGTAAAATGTTTATTCTCAATTTTTATCTAAGGTATCAGAGCTCCAGGAGCTTTGTTCCATGTGTAATGAAAAAGAGACAGATATCAGAATAACAACCAAAAAGCTGGCAATGGTGTCTTTATTAACAGTGTTCAAAGATATCATACCTGGGTGAGTTCACATTGTACATGTAGATAACAGTTTTATGGTAAAGACAATGTGTTAATATGGGACAACAAAAAACTTAATTCCTCAGTGGATTTTAAATAAATTCATCAAAATGTACAACTGAGTGGCTAACATAATGTGATTGTTAACTAATTCTTAAGTTACAGGTATATTTAAATTTGTTAACTTTGCAGTGTTCTCTTAAAGCCCCACTGGCTCGCACTTTGCCTGGCTACTTATTTCTAAAATGCTAGTTACTTAAACTAGACAAAACAGTTAAGTAGATGTCTTGATCTCAGACAGATTTCAACTTTTGCTGCAATTTCTAAAAGACACCGAGCTTTGACATGTATCATGTAAGGAGTGTTTTGTTAATTTATGGTTTGTGATTTTAATTCAGATATCCAATTCGGACAGCCTCACAGAAAGAACAAGGTGTGAAGGTTGGTTAACATGTCCACTTGAAAATTGATGAATCGAATCTAATTCAAATTTTATCAAAAGTTTTAATCTTAATTAGATTAACTAATAGATCACAGATGATGACAGAATGGGGCAAGAAAAAAAAGTAGCACACAAGGCACAACTGAGAGTGTCACTGATGTTAGCTTAGAATAATATATTGATCAGTCTAAACAGGCTCCCTCTATATGTACTTACAAGTACATTCTAAAATATATCTGCAAAAATAAAAAAGTCAACATATTATTCCAGAAAGAAGCCTCTATAATCTCACATAAACACAAAGATTTCATTTATTGTTCACTGATATTTAAATAGTGAATACGCTTCTGTGCTGCAGATCATTAGTAAGCACCAATCAAACTGCATGTATAATTCAGTGTATTATATAATGTGTGTTATGTGACATACTATACTGTTGTTGCTTTGAGGTGGTTATCAGTTCAAGCCATTTTTTCTTTTTCATTTCTTTCTCTGATGATTTTTACATGTTTATTTTTCAGCTATCCAAAGAGGTGAAAAAACTGAGAGGTTATGAGGAAGGGCTGTTAAAAAACTATCAAAAATACCTACAGATTTTGGAAGAAACTGTACAAGGTAGAATTATATTGACCAATGACAAACTGTATTGTTTACATAACTACACATGAGCATTTTTGTGAAATTTGCCATACTCAGTACTCCTAACTTTGCCTTCTTTTTCACTTTGTTCTTTTGAATTCTTCAGAGTGTGTTAAAACTCAGAAAATAAGTTCTAAAAATGGATTGGTGGACAAAAAAACTTCATCTGAGGTATGGCTAAGTGAGAACAATGTTTTTTCTCACATACATTTACCATTTGCAACTTAACATGTGGTTCTACTTTTCATCAATGTGTTTTTTACTTTGCCAGTGCTTCTAACAGAACTTGTTTTATTTTTGCATGTACATATACAGTATTTCTCAGAAATACTTTAACCCTGTTACTCACAAGTTCTTATTGTTAATTCTCCCCTCTAGCTGCAACACATCTCCTTGTTAATATGTTAAAATAATTTAGTGTTTGATCAAGATAACAACTTCTACCTGATAAGTTCTAATAATTATTTTCATTACTTGTTTGCTGGATAATGCATGAGAGTTAAATGGTTAAGAAATAAAAGGTACATAGTAACTGTATTAATGGAGGGATATGTGAATATGAATGTACATGTAGTGTATTGTGCATATAAATATAGGGTAGATGCGTATAGTGAAAATTATAGCTCATGCACATATAAATGAGCATATAAATTTCACATATACAACATGTGCATACAATTGTATATGCATCTGTGTGAGCTAGGTTATTGTTTTTCCACTGTTGATGGGTAACTTGTTCTAAAGAATAGAATGACAGCACTAAAATACTATACAACTATGAACTACATGTACACGTAGAATAGTCAGTTTCATTCACCACTTCCTGATACCCTGTTGAGATGGTATTGCTGTGAGATGATTTTAGGTTCTGCTGATCTTTGCATGTATTTCCTTTGAAATGTGTTTTAATGTTCTTGCTGATACATGTGTATATTCAATGTGTTATAAATATATATTTGTCAAACATAACATTACCTGTTTTCTTGGGATATGATGTTATACGTGTTTCCTCTTGATGTTAAAAATTGTATTTGCGTTCAACTGGGATGTGTTGCTGTATGAAAGTGAAGATTTGATTCGACTGAAGGCTGTAGATTTTTTTTCTTTGGTGCAGTGACTTTAATTGAAGTCAATGTGCACAGATAAATTTGTCACCTAAATCCAATTCTTTCTTTTTTTCAGAGTTTGATGCTTGTAACAGTCCAGTGTATGTGTGATCTCCTAACATCTGTGCCTCACTTCAATTTCCACACAAACCTTATTGCAGTACTTGTACCCAGAATGAATGAAAAATCTCTTGATGGCAAGGTTAGGCAACATAAATTATCTATTATGAACATTGTGATAATAGTTTTTATTCGTATCAATACGAATGAATCTAGTTGTGTCAGAGACAAGTTTTAGCATTTCTACACATGTAGTTTCTAACAATCAGTTTTATAATTAGCTAAAACACCATGAAAAGTCAAGAAAGGCCATGGATGGGCAAAACTGGAGGATATTGATGGAATTTACTGTAGTTGGGCAATCTGGAATTGTGCTAAATGGGATATTAAAATCTTTTCATGTTCGTACAATTGTACTGCTTGGAAACAAATCCTTGTTGTGTATGTGCCATATATTTTGTCTATAAACTACATATCATAAACGCTGATAAACAGGTGAATAAAATTTCCCTAAAATGCATTGACCTAAATATAAAATGTATGCAGTCCTCTTCAAAATCAGTTACAATAAACAGTTTTCTTTGGTAAGATTGATCAAATCAGTAATGATTTACATGTGTATTCCTTTCTCAGATTTCAAAGTTATGCTGCAATGCTTTTATTTCATTGTTTAAACAAGATTCAGTAGGAACTGTTTCACTTGAGGTATTCTTGCATGATTATCATGAGGTGTAAACATGTACATGGTATGGGATTTGATTTGTGCCAATTTTGTGGGTTGTCCCTAATGCTAAAATTTAAGTTCCTGTAGGAATATATCCCACTAAACAAAATGCTGCGAAACTTTACCTTGTTTAATTAGATAAGACACCAGGGTATAGGTAGGGTGGGAGAGTGGGGTAGGAGGGTAGGGTTGAAGAGTGGGGTAGGAGGGTAGGTTTGAAGGGTAAGGTGGAAGAGTAGGGTGGGAGGGTAGGGTTGAAGAGTAGGTGGAAGGGAAGGGTGGGAGGGAAGGGTAGAAGGGTAGGTTGGGAGGGTAGGGTGGAAGAGTAAGGTGGGAGGGCAGGGTGAAGGGTAGGGTAGGAGGGTAGAGCAGAGTATTTGTTTGGATTTGTTGTAAATGCTTTGAACAGAAGGTATTACCTGTACCTTCTGGAAATATCAACAATTCAGTAAAAAATCTTAAATAATTTCAATGGGCAAATTGAAGCTATTAGACAGTGTTACTGTAAAACCTCCAGCAATGCTGTCTCAATGGAAAGTCCCATGAACAATTACACACATACAAGGCTCCTTAAATTCTTGTGCAAGAATTCTTTGGAATAAATATACAAATATACTTGTTTGTACATTACAATGTACATTGTTATAGAACTTTGTCTAACTTTGTGTTAACTAAATTTTGCTAGGCTGTCCGAGTGATCAGTAAATTTGTAAAGAGTAAAGGATTTAGAGTTCAACCTGGTGTAAGTACAAGTAATTGAACTTAAATTTGTAGCTACATTTATATAACAATTATCAGCCAGTTTCCTTCCCTCACAGCTACACCCCTTTAGTCCCTTTTCTCCTGTGGCTACACCCTTGGACCCCCTTTCCCCTTGTAGCAACACCTTTTGAACTCTTCCTCCTATAGGTATGCCCTTGGATTTCCTTCTCCCTGTAACTAAACTCTTGGTGCCCCTCTCCCCCACAGCTACGTCCTTGGACCCCCTTTCCATTGTAGCGACACCCTTGGACCTCCTTTCTAGGGTAGCAACACCCACGGACTCCCTAGACCCTATAGCTACACCCTTGGACCCCCTTTCCATTGTAGCAACACCCTTGGACCCCTTTCACCCCTTTCCCTACACACATAAACTTCTCTCCCTCATATCACTTTTACCCCTCAATTTCAGCCACCATCTGGCTGCACACTTTGAACCTCTCCAATCCTTAGTTACAGTTGCACCTTTTCAACCTTCCCCTCCCTAGCTACAACCTTGGAACCCCTTACTCCATAACTACACCTCTGAACCGCATTTTGATTAATACCTTAGCTACCTTCTGCTGTCTTTAGTACATTAACAACGGATGTATCATCATTATGATACCCCACTTACTTGAAAAAAAAGAAAAAGACACTGAAAAATATTCATTTCAATATTAAGTGTAGAATCATTATATAACACATTTTTGGGTGTTTCATTATTTTAGCTAAAAGAAGAAAGATAGTGAGCTTAATTGGACCATTTTATAATTGTGTTAAGATTGGTCTCGAAAGGGAAAGTGTGTTTCTCCATTAATTAATGTGAAGACTTTTCCTTTCCAATGCAGGTTTTAGAAACACTACTTCATTTGAGAATAAGTCAGGTAGATATCCAGTCGCTTAAACAGCACAATGAGACGAAATCAGCAGTCGAACTGAAAATTGAGAAAAACAAGAATAGAATGGAGAAGAAGTTAAAAGGAAAGATTTCAAAGAAAGAGAAAAAGGTGCGTTCAATTCAATCTTTTTTTTCCCCAAGTGATGTGTTTGTTGTAGTGACTTAGAGAAAAAACACTTCACTTTGACATGTATTTGTTCAGTAGTAGCCCACAGAAGATGTCAAAGGTGGCAAGAGTATTTGTGACACGCTTGTCTGCCTGTGCCTTTGTGCCCCTTTTTTTTCAACAATCATTGTGATGTATATCTGAAATGACTCAGGGCGAAATGGATGCCATATGTTTGATAAGAAAAAAAAAGGACCCTCTATGACGTCATCTTTGCGTCTTGTGTCTCGTACATGCGTCAGGATCATTCACGAACACCATATGGGATCATTGGGGTGTAATCTGAGAACAATTCGGCACAGATGCTATATATTTTTGCTATGATATAACAAATGTTTACAACACGTTCTTTACGTGTAGAGAAAGAGAGAGATGAAAAAGTTAGAGAAAGAAATGCAAGAAACTGAAGCTGTTGAAAGTCAACAGAAACGAGCCAAGTTGGTAAGTGTGAAGTTTGCTTTGTCTTCCTTGACCTAACAATCGTGGGGAACATATCGCAAAGTTGGTTATCCATGTAAAGTAATGACATTGTGAAATTAAAAAAAAACGGATTTTTCAAGCATGAGCCCCTTGTTGTAGTCATTGCAGAGTTCTATCTGTTGAAGCCATGAAATCGAAATGTTCCCGGTGACAATACACAAAAGTCTCAGTAGATACTATATTTCGAGTTTCTCTGATTTTTCCGCCTTGGTCTCGCTATAAATACTTGTTCTATTGTGATGTCCAGCCACATCAGTTGTTTTTAACGATAACCTTTCCATATTTGTTTCCCGCTCTTTTTTCTTTTGCATACTTCAAAGTCCTAGTAATGCGAAGTTGAACAAGATCATTAAGGTATAAAATTTTTATACCTCTTTTCTCCTTTAACAGCAAACAGAGATCCTCAAGTTCGTGTTTGTGACGTATTTCCGAGTATTAAAGACAGTTGGACACTCGCCAGTCTTATCCCCTGTACTCGAGGGACTCGCCAAGTTTGCGCACCTTATCAATGTGGACTTTTTTAATGATCTTATGGGAGCTCTTCATACACTTCTAAACAACAAGGTACTTTACTTTACTTGTCAGGGTAAACAAGCTGTTTGCATAATCTTTCTCGCACATTTTCTCTCACGATTTTGTGTGTCGATGTTACTCAAAAATTAGTTCAAATGGTAGAGTTAGTTAGTTTCAGTCAGTGTTTGTCTTCTCCATCCTCAATAGCTCTTACATATTTGGTACTTGTCCATCTTTAACATTTCTATGAAGGCGACCTTTATGACCTCAAAATAACGAGAGAAGTTTGATTTAGAAGCTTAAAACTACCATTGTATCCATTTTAAAGGCAGATGGTGTTTCTAATTTGAACAATGCGTGAGGCTTGCTCCAATTAAAACCAATATGTGAGCCAGATGAAACCTTCCGAGCAATTTGGAAGAATTTTTCTGCCTGGTCAGGCTTTCCCGAAAGTTTCCGGAAAAAAAATGAAATTGTAACCCGATTTCTGCCTGTTCGACTCGCTGAATAACGAAGGAAATGTAAACTGATATTTAAGAATCAATAATTGAATAGAATTTGATGGGGTATCTGATAATTCAGCTTAAAAAAAAAATGCATTTTCAGAATCGTGCAGATAATATGTTAAAATTTTTGCAGTTGTAGTTGTGATAACAGCTCCCGAAATCTTTGGTTCTTCCACTTCAGGAACTCACTCTGAGGGAAACTCTCAACTGTGTACTCACTGCTTTTAAAATTCTATCGGGCCAAGGCAAGTAGATCGCTTTTAGTTTTGCTCTTTTTTTGTTTTTACTCAGTGGCTTTTGTTAGCACCATTTTGAAGTTATTTCTCGTTCTGTTTTGACTTTACTCCTTATGAACTTTTTTTCCTCACTTCAGGGGAAGCTCTGAACATTGATCCTCGAGAGTTCTACAGAATGTTGTACTCGTCACTTCTGCAAATTCATGCAGGTAAGAGCTGAGGGAATTGAGTTACTTCTCATTTTGCTGGAGCAGCACATCGCTCTCTAATTGGCTTCATTGGTGTGATAGTTCATGTGTGTTTATAACTACAGTCTAATAATGCTGTTGTTGAGCCTGAAGCTTTGTAACCCGCGAGGAACTTACGAATCACGATCACTTTTCACAACAAAACCTACCAATTACCGGTAGCTGTGACGTGAGATTAGCCGTACACTTTGTTACCAGGGGAAGGGGGGGGAGGGGACATTTATTGTCGCTTGGCGTAATTGAGGGCAAAGAGAGTGAAGGAAGGGGGATACAGTTGTATCCTACTCAAATAATCACACCAAAGGAATAACTCGACGGGATCTTTTTTCGGAAAGAACAGAAGCTGGAATGCTTTCTTACTGTTTTCAATTTTGGCTTATTTTTTTCGTATTTCTTTTTTATATATGTGTATATTCTTGGTTTTTCCATGCAAGGCGGTAGCAGTCAAGATGTTCCAGTAGCACTGCAGTGTCTGGAGGAAATGCTAAAGAAGCGACGCAAGCAGGTAATTAGTTGTATTTATCAAAACGTTACATATAAATGTTTCTGGGATAGTCTGCTCGCGCAGTAAGGCTAATTAAACAATCCGTTGCTCGTGATGGCTTAGAAACAATTTTTTTATTGACATATCAAAATTTGACCGATTGGTTGACTGTTTGATTGATTGATCAATTGACGTTTTCTAATTACCACAGCAATTTGGGTAGATAACTTAGGGTAACTTTTTAATTTTTTCCTTTTTTTGGGGCTTTACAGGTTCCTACTCAGCGGGTGGCTGGATTTGTGAAGCGCCTCTGTACAGTAAGCTTACAGTCTGAAGCCAACAGTTCAATGGCTTTTCTCGCCTACGTTAAGTCATTTCTTCAGGTAACACACAAATACCGTCGCTTTTGATTTATATTTCGTCATTGTCGTTATAGAGTAATATGTAATCCTTTTATGATCTAGAAGAATAAAATTTCTTCACGGACGTGAGGTGTCTGTTCCTTATGCTAGGATCGTTACGATCATGACTATCAAAGTTCAGGCTGTGGCCATGTGCTTCATGTAGACGCCCTCAAAAGAGAGCTGTTTTCTGTTCCCTGAAGAATTTTGTACACATTGTTTTGTTTTGAAAATGAATATTTGTTGTTTTATATTTCTTAACGTGTCTACCACCATTACTCTATTAAAAAACAACTAGGAAACGTGGAAGAGTTATTACCCACATAGCTAGTTTTTTTTTTTAATATGCGGCCCTCTATCAATTTTGATCTCGTTTTCTCAACGATTTTGAATTTTTCTACTTGTATTGTTTCCAGTCTCACACAAAAGCGCAAGCCCTACTTGACAGTGAAAGCATGGGCACTGGTGTGTTTAGACCTGACGTAAATGATCCAGAGCTCAGCAATGCAGACAGTACGACCGTTTGGGAATTGGCTTTTTTGGGAACTGGGCACTTCCATCCAGCTGTTCGCTCGGTGGCCCATCATGTTGCGGAAGGAGCGCCGAGTAAAGTCTCCGGCTCTTCTATGATGAGGATGTGAGTAGTATATGTTTATGTGTCTTTTAATTCTTTTACGAAAGTTAAGTTAAATATTCCGCAAGAGATGGCCTCGTGCAAAATGGACATTTTTTACTGATGAGTGAGCGACTGTTATAGTAGCTGTTGCTTTGAGAGTAGCCTTGAATGGTACTGGAAGTGGTATTTCTTATTAGCCATCTACTTCACCGTTCAAAGTTTGCTTTCATTCGCGAAGGAAACCATATTCCAGTTGTACCTGTGGCAAAAAAGTACACTTTTATTTTGTCATACTTAATGCATTGCCGTCATAACGTGCTCGATTGCTGACGTAGCCTTTTAAGATAATAAATTAATTCGGTGTCTTTTCATAGGTCACCCAACGATTTCTGGACAAAGTATGACCCATCCGATATGAAACTTAATCCTGATTTAAAAGAGGGTGCACTGAACAGGAAAGGAATCAACTTAAAAAGGATAAAACACATGGAAAATGAAGAATTAAAAAACTACGATATGGTATCAGCGGTTAAAGAAGCGCTGGACTTTACTAAAGCTAGTTGTGGATTAAAATTCTCTTTACCAAAGCTAAACGCTGACAGGTAGCATCAATAGATGTCAGGACTTAATTTCATTTAAATCATCGGCGCAGGTCGGGAAATAATCAGGAATCTATTTCATTCAAGTCAGCGAGATAGGATTTTGAGGAAAAGCTATGGAAAATTAACATTTAAATACTGTCTCAGTAACATTTTCTGTCTTCATCCATTTTAAACCAACCACAGCAGAATATCGCGTTTAGTGAGTGACACGTGAACTGTCGAAACTTATCGCCAAATAAAGCTTAAGCAATGTACAGTAACAGCATCACGATGTATTAAAACAGGTGACAACCCCATAAGACATACTTAAGCACTTTATTGTTTAAGTTTTTCTCGTGTTCTCTAGTTATATTTATTGTTAGGAATACTCGCTATCTTGTGGAAAATTACCGTCACCGACAAAATTTGTCTCCACATAGATTCTCACAAAGTTAGGTGTACGGGTTTCATCGGCAGACTTGAGTTATTTTTTTAGAAGTATCTCTCTGTTAGCTCTGTGAGCTACTTTTAACTCCAGAGCAAAAACGCCGGAGTACCATCGACAATGCAGCGAAATTACTCAATTCAAAAGACAAATTGAGAGCGACGGTCAGGAAATATCGACCAAAATCTTAATTTCGTGGCAAGAGTTGAAAAATCGCTTTCTTTTGTTTTTTGTTCATAAATAGCTTTTAGGTAGATAAGATACCTGATGTGGATTGTTCCCGCCAAAAGCTTTTTATTTTTTAGAAAAATTAGAACATCGGTTTTTGTGGTCGGAGTCACAAAATTGGCTAATCATTTACGTGAAATTTGCATACATCAACTTGCCTCTCGTTCGCAAACAAAGTCGCACGGAGAGATTTGGACACTTTATTTGAACAGAATCACTGTTCTTCTTTTACTAGAAGATTCTTTTAGAGCAAAAGCGACACTCCGAGCAGAAATTATTCAAAAATGAGGAATTGGTTTTATGGATAACAAAAACTCCGTTTTGTTATTGATTTTCGACGGCAATATTGCACATGTGGTATGACTCCAAATTGACTTCATTCTAGTTAAATCCCACATCTAGACATACATCTAAAACAAACCTGGGAATTAGCTTGGGTTATTGAAGGAAATCTCTATAAGGCGGTATCGAAGTTAAGGAATTTTCATGGTGGGTCGGCGGTAATTGTGTAAACACTTCCATTTTCGAAATCCATGAAAGAGGATATTTGATCCCCAAATACTCATTTTTCTTAATCCTTGTAGGTTTTACAGTTGCAAAGTTGCGTTTCTACTTAAAGAGTGAGATAGAAAAGCCAAACTGGGTGAATTTTAGCCATTTTGAAACGCTAAACTCTATCGACCGGAGACTCCGCGTGACGAATTGTTTCGTGACTAAACGTGATATTGGGGAGTCGATCAGTCACGGAATCACAATATTAACAATGCATTTCTTGACGGCGTATGAGAAAAGTGTTTTAAGGAAGAAAAAATCGATCGTCCTAGACAAGTAAACAGAAAGGTAAAAGATTCAAATCAGAAGGGGCTCCTGATTCAAGCTTATGTCTTGACATCTGTTGCGTGAAGGCGAATATGGAAATTATATGCGCAAAGCGCAAGCTGTGGGGTGGGGGACGGGGAGGGGATCAGGGCAGCCAGAAAAATAGTCTTTCATGTAATACATTGACAACATAATAATCGCTAAAAAGACTCTAAAAACGTTGTGGCTTTATTTTTCAACTTCTCTAAACAAAACTACTTATGCCATTACCAGGATACAGGAGTCGAGTATCGGCTCCTAGAAAACCATATCCGGATCTTACTCCATACAACTTCATTCTTTCACTTTAAATGACGAGAAAAAAAAAAGGGAAATAATGCGAAATATTTAAGTTATCAACCATTTTAAGCACGCAACTTGTGCTGCGCCTATGGTTTTAGCCTCTATTGTAAAATACTGCGCAAAAATTGACTTCTCGGTGGAAAAAACAGCGTAACACATAAGACACAAAATGTACCCCCTGTTTCAAAACCTCGAAACAATTTTCTGCTCTGCCTCGTCAAAATCGGTTAGGGAAATAACGCTAGCTAATGGTCTCCTACGAAGATAATAAGGCGACTCGACGGATCATCATATTGACAATTCTACATGTATTTATGAAGCAGATAACAACTTAAGCAATTAATTTTGGTCCGAAGAGCACTCTCTTATTTTGGTGTTAACAGGGATGTGCCGCTGAAGAGGATATGACTGGGGTCTTCCTATCTGGGAAGCATAAAAAAACAGGGTAAACGTTGCGGTGCGCAGTCTGAATGCAAAATACCAAACATTTTTGAAATCTAACTCTATCTATAACTAAAAAAAAAAACTGGATTCGGTTTGTGAATTAAATGAATCATGGCCAGAAATCGAGGACAGCCAGCGGTTTTGACCGTACGCTAATTTTTAGGGATTTTGAATAGCTAATAAGGATTTCTACATTCGCAAAATGGCGGGGAAGCGAACGTATAATTTTTACCGTGCAGTAGATTTACAATTTACTAGCCTCAAGTAATTCTACTTGACATATGTAAAAACAAATAAATGTGAAACCTAACAAGGGTTCTAAAGTCCAAGCTGTGCAAAATCTAGCCTGAGTCCCTATTAGACAAGCACCAACCCTTTGCTGATGCTTCCCTGTGATCGTTCGATCGTGACAAAACGGGGCTGCCTGTGTCGCTCTGGCTTGGTAACCTTGGTAACCTCTCTGTTTTGAAAATGGCGGCTGATCGAAGGAGTTATTTAAAAAAGTATCCAAAATGCCTTCTTTTTCGATCGCTTCGTGCAGTAATGGCGCAGAGATTCACTCTGTGGAATTTCTATATTTCAGGGAAAAAACGAACTGGTTTAGCAAAGAAGTTAGGCCTCTAAAACCGTACAAAAATGAAAATAAACATATCCTTCAAGAATCAGGACGTGGGGAAGGAAACACCGACATCTAATGACCTTTTTTCTGGCTTAAAGAGAAGCGCTTAGGCAATATTACAGACTCTTGTATGGCAAGGAAAGCCATCTTTTTATTGTGACTCACGGACCAACTTTGGGAGCTTGACACATTGCCAAATAAACATGACCGAAAGCCACGATCGCCTTGCGAAGGTTTAGACGTGGGCAAGCGAGCGATTCTTCGTCTAACTTTATTTATCCTAAAAAGTTTCTTTTCTCCCCATTAATCCTTTATATGGTCGCCATATTTAAAGAACGGGAAAAGTAAATGAAGCGCATGCTCCAGTGCCATGTTGTCCTCAATTTCTGGCCATGATGGAAATTCTGTAATGAGTCATAACAAGTTGGGTCCTGTCTTGATAAGGATGGCAAAATGAATGTCCTTTTTTTGTCTTAAAAAGGTAAGTGACTCAGCGGCATATCCCCACCTAACGTTCCCATAAGAACCTTCAATTTCCCAGGTTAAGATCTCTTTTCAGGTAAATACGAAAAACATCATCCCGATACAAGAATATTCCCGTCAGAGCAGGGAAATCACGCGAAAACCTGATCATGTCATTTTACTGTTGACACGAGCAGTTGCTACAAAACGTGGACAGTTTGGTTACGTGAGGCCTCTTCAGTCTGACTGTTATATGACTGACGTCTAAATCAAAGTGCTCGCACAATCTCTTCAGCATTTTTATGCTAAATTTGTTCAGTTTACCTTGCTTAACAAGGTCACACATATTATGACAGTCAAACACGATTGGATGTTTTAATGAAACTTCCCTCCGTACTTGATTTGTTAGGTCCTCAAGGGAACTCTCGAACTCCGCGGCTTCGTCATCATTTTCTTCTGTGTCATCCTTGTCAAGTAAACTCTTTTGGGTAGCAAGGCGACTGAAAAAGCTGCTTATTTGTTGGCTGGTAAGGAACTCATCGCAGCTGAATAAGCGTTCTCCGTCATTTCCTCTGGCGTGCATCATTTCTTTTGCAACAACTACTGGGTCAGCTTTGCGTCCCGTGGTCTCACCAATATTGAACTTTGTGGATAGGTACTCTTTCTGATTTACATTAAAACGTGTTCTTCGGTTCTGGGATGATCTTAATGCCCAGCCCATAGGGAGAGTAGACTGTAGTGGCACTTGTTTTGGCACTTCCTGACCATTTCCTACACAGGGGACGCCCACCGTTTGAACCTCCAGTCTCTCCGCATATCCATAAACAGCTTGGTCTAGGAGTGGTTCTCGTTCGAGAGCACGTGTGTGTTTTCCGGAGTCTGATGTTGCTGCAGATTCGAGTAACGTTGGTAACAGTTGATACATCCCTCTTCCGGACATGAAAAAAGACGAGCGTTGGAGGTTTCCGTTTCTGTTTCGTCACTCGAGTTTTCACTGGAACTATCTTCCTCGCTCTCCTGTCTCGGAACAGTATCTTTACGCTTGGATTTTACAGGGGCAAAACTCGCTGTGACACCTTCCTTATTTACGTCCGTTAAGTACGGAACTTCTGAGTTTTCCGAGACGTTCAGCTTATCCCAAGGAGTGTATTTCCCTCTGCCAATTCTGTATGCTCTCCAAACTCGCAATCCCTTGTCATCGTACTGTACATTCGAAATTGAACCCGCTCCATCAAGCTTGATGTTCAAAGAAGCTGGAGCTTTTGGGGGTCCACAGGAAGTCACCCTCACCGAGGACATTCCATCGGCTGACAAAATGGCTTCTTTCGTTTCTTCTGACGTTTCAATGTTGTTTCCGGAATTCAGGTAAATCTTCATGTGGGATTTTATAGCTGCGGACCTTCTGTCGCAAGCCCCTTTTCCTCCTTGAGGATCGCAAAAATCCATGCGCTTCACAGTCACGCCGTGATGTTTACCAACCATGTGAGCAAGGCTGATTGTGTTACCACAATGGTAACACCCGGCGTTGTCCTGCCAATAGTATACTCGCTGTAGGTGTGGCATGACGTCCTGTAAATCTTTGAGTACGTCAGGCATGACGGACAGTACCGCACAGCTATCTTGACTGCAGCTTCTGAAGACACGGCACATGGTAAAGGTTTCGTACTTTCCAGCATTACTTGTGCTTTCCTTTCTCATGGCGACAGACACGTGCCAGGGAACTCCCCGTTTCCCAAACCAATCGCGTTGGCTTTCACGATATTTTCGAGGATTAAACTTCATGGCCCAATCTTGTACAAGTAGAACCGATGTGTCGTCCAAGTCTCGGATGATGTCTAGTCTTGCTTTATCTTGATTCACCGAACGCAACAAATGAGATTTCCAGGCAATTATATCACGTTTTGCTTTCTCGGTCATGAATGCGAGCTCTTCGTGTATTTGGCCTTTGGAAAGATGTTCAAGATTCATCGCCATCACCTCGATTGCTTTCTCTACCTCCTCTATAGCAACGGCAAGGGAATTACACGGACCACAAACGTCGCTATGATCATGGGCATATGTAGCCTGGTAGTCAACATCTTTATGGTCGCTGAGAGCAAAAACGATGCAATGATCTGGAATACTTGAACTCTTTGATACGTGAACCTAAGTGATTAAAATGTGCGCAATAATTATCAAATCCTCAATTCTGAGGAATATTTACGTAATGCATTTACCTAGTGCTATCTTCTAAAACATTTCAGAACCTAAGTATTGTGAAGCTGAATGCCGTATTTCAACCCTCCCCCCTCCCCATTTTATCTTAGGGTGGACTTCCACTTTTGCATATCGCGTAAACTTCACTGGCATGCCGCAGGCACGTAAATTTTAATTCTATTCAGACCGGGCCCAGGGTTAGGGTTAGGGTTAACTACAAAACCGCTCATGGTATGGTTAGCAACATGTCACAGAACAATTCCTTTTTTCACTTTCTTATTTTACCTTGAAATCAGTCTTGAGGTACCGCTTTGCCTCCTTTAAAGCTTCCTTTTGTGTTTTTTGCCCATGTAAGACCCATTCCGTTTTCCCCGAGCTGGTGCACAACGTTCACAAGATCTTCAAATGCCTGCGCACCAGAACAGCTTACGTAATCTAACCCTTGCAATGACTTGCGACTCGAAGCGTAACAAACATGCAGAATTCTTAGCAGTGTACTGTGACTCACGGGTGTGAAATTATGCTCGGCAGAATATTTTTGGTGCTGGCAAACGATTCGTTCAGGTATCATGTTCCATACCACACTTGGAACTTGGATGACCTCGTTAGTTGACAATGTTATTGTCTTGGCTCCGAATGGAAGATCTTGAATTACATGGGAGCTTGTGATAAAGTCTAGGAAATGCGCTAATTTTGCTTCAGGTATGAATGACTTCGTTTGTGTATTGGTAGGCACCAGTTTTCCACTGCCATGGACTGCAGCATGCTGCCTGGCGACCATAAATCGATAACTTGTCAGGCCTGGGATCCACTGTTGAATTTTTGCCCAGCTAACCTTATCCGCCATTATGGACAATATCTGCCTGCGAGAATCCCACTCGTTTGCATTTTTGTAGCAGTTTGCCAGCGTGCATATCAATTCTTTATCCAAACCACTAGAACAAGTGTGATTTCCAGTTTCATTTTGTTTTGAGGGCATAATAGATTCCCAGAGAAGATCTGGATCATTAGGCGCTATTTCACCAAGAACAGCTGAAACCGCTTGCTTGGCTTTGCGCTCATGCAGTCGTCAGGTCCTTCCACTGGCATCGTTCCAAGGTGTCTCTAGGGCGTACCTAATAGGACTAACGTCTCGACTTCTTAAGAAACTGTTAAGGTGGTCAATAGGTTCTTCCGACTTCATTCCTGTAGTGCTTGTCTCGGTTTCTTCTAGGAGGGTTGATGGTAAATATAATGACGTTTCTTGCTCTAGTAAGTCACGTGCTACCACCGAACAAGGAGTACTTGCGGCAATTGGAAGGTTACACACCAAGCCCTAGACAAGGACGCAAAATAAATGTAATGTAAACTGTATTAAAAAAAATTAATTGGGTACATAATTATCAAAGTTAACCAACACTTAGACAAAGATCAATAATCCCTACTGATCTTTGTTGCCTTTATTATGGACTAAAAATAAAACCTTTTTTGCTGCCTTCATTTATGATAAAAAGTGCCTAATTTATTACATAAAATACCTTTCATTATGACAAATAAGTACGAACTTTAAAGCGAGTGGTAAAGGAACCCAGAGTGGTATATTGGAAACCCGAAACGTTTTTCTGGGCGTTATTCACCGTATCCTTAACCTTGAGAAAATCACATGAACTCGTATCCCTGGCGGTATAAGGTGGAGGGATGCGTGTGTGTAGGTGGGGGCAAGTGGAAGCAAAAATGCAGTTTTTTTTAAATGAACCCTTTATTCTTAAAAGAACAATTTGGCCTCAGCTTATCATCGCGGACTACGTAGTCTTTAACTTGTTGCCATTGCTTCAAGTTCTCAGATTTTGGTGAGAATAAAAATAGAAAATCCGCTGAATAAATTTCAACTGTGTGCAGACGCAAGGGCGACATAAAATGCACGGGGTATTAAACCTCTTCATTATCTGCGGAACTCAGGAAAAACTGACGTAGAAGGCACAAAATAAGCATATGGCATTGTTTTCTTGGATACCAGCACACAGTCTGAGGTCTATGAAATCGGTTAATTTGTGCTCTCTATCCCTATTCGTTACATTTTAAGGAAAGGCAGCAAGGAAACGGGGCCCGCTCATGCAGACTTTGTGAAGATAAGGTCCCTATCCATTTTTTTAAAAATTTTTTTTATCTTTTTTGCCCCGCGGGCCTTGTTTGGTGCCACTGTTAATAACACTATTTCCATTGAGTGCCAGTTCAGAACTTACAGAAGTCTCAATGGTCTCAGTTTCCTCGTAAGAAAGGTTCTTGGTCTCCGGAAGCTTTGTGGGCAGCTCCCCTATTTTCTGCATGTCAAGATTAACCCGGCAGTTGCGACAAATACCTGTTGAGTGAATCGATGGAAAATGCAGGTTTTTGCTGATACGATATAATCACTATTCTGAACAACTACGGTCTTAATTTACACAAGTAAGGGGAACCTGTTTTAAAAAACTTAAATGATAGATTTTCCTGCCCTTTCATATACTTCAACTCTTCAATTCCCTACCCTTTGATATACCTGAAGCCTGATAAAGGTACCCTTTAGGGGCTGAGTCTCCCTGTAACTATCTATAGGCCATCAGGGAATCTGCTTTAAAAAGCTGTAATTTTTTTTGGGCTTGTCCGCCGTGCTTCGAGATTGGCGGAGGAACTCGGCACAGATTCGATCCTCGACGCCACCCAATACCAAGGGATGAGCGGTGCCGGGGACAAATTGTTAATTCCGAAAGGTCTAACTCCGAAGAAAAGGATGTAGATACTCTTCCCAAAATAAGTTCGATTTCGGTTTCTACGTCAGTTATTGACAAGGAAGACTTGTGACCCGCGATGTCTCTTTTGCAGTTCAGAAATGGAATAACCTCAGTTGATCTGCTCCTATCTCTGGGGTCATAAGGGCAAGAACCGCCGACTAAAAGAGCACTTAACGTCCATGATGACACAAAATGGGCAAAACAAATTCACTCCAACTTCGCTAATAAAATTTCCCCTCTTTGCATTTAATTGACTAATTCAATTTACTACGGCTAGTAAACTGCTTCGAGCATTAGCCAACTCTGTCATTTCTTTAACAAATAATAAAAATGAATCCTCACAATTGAAGAAAATATCAATTTAAAAAGCATCTATGATTTTTGTCTTTCTGTTCCGATTCTTCTGAAACCAAAGGAAGCGAAAAAAACAAGTATAAAAGTTAAACAGGTTAGCCGAGAGCTAATCAAATTACATCAGATATTTATCAGGGAAAACATCTTACACTGAAAAGGAAAACTTCCTCCTTAACAATGAGAAAAAATAACCTCTCTTTGGCCGATTACCTTTTTTCAATAAAAAAGGACGAAAAGCTCACACCAGAATCGCTTTCAGTACGCTTTCGTGTATATTCCGGCCTGCTGTGTAAAACTCCGCTTGACGCCGGTCACGCAACAAGAATTGTTTACTCAGCCGTTGTAAAAAATTTGAATGAATTACTGTCATTTCAAAACCTTCGCGTGAGGCGCTGTAAAGACAACCCATGCTGATTCTAACATATTATCAAGGACAACCTTAAATCCCTCTAATGACATAGTTAAAAGGAAAATCTGAATTATACCACATAGTGAAAGAAACATTTGAATTAAGGAGGTATTTGCTGGATTTTTTACGTTTGAAAATACAGCACTTTCCTGCGCGTTGTTTGCTATTTATGAACAACAATAAAGATAAGTCATATAGTTTCTGGGAAAGTACGGCACTCACTCTATCAAAATTCGGTGTCATGATCCTTTGAATCGTTTTTCCTTGTAGACCAAAAGTCAATTTAAAATATCAATTTCACACTTGCTTGCGGGACCTTTCGGGATCGTCGCGGGTCAAATTCGTTTTTCTCAGTTTTCTCAGAATTAAAACGCTCCGGAAGAAAAAGAAATACATTAAATTTATTCTATTCTTAGTAGCTTTTTACAGTCAGAAAATAAGCGAAATTCATTTTTCAACTCTTGCCACTCAATGGTCGATATTTCCTGACCGTCGCTCTTAAACAATCTGAAACGATTACTGTAAAACTACTGTACCTCCAATGCTTCACGTTTTATTCATAATGAAATACTTAGCCTCCGTTTCCTAACTTCATCTTGAAAGAAAACTTAAAACAAGTCATGGCAAAGACGAACCAATTAAAATCTCCATATTAGGCTCGTTCCTTTGCTGAAAGAAAAATTCGAATCAATCAGAATCTCGCCTGAAAATAAGATCTCAGAAAGGCGATAAGTCATCTCGCGTCAAAACAAGATGCCATTAAGTCGTCGTATAGTTACCGCACATGCAATCTCTTCCAGAAGAACATTAACAAGGGAAGCAAAACACAATGTCTGCGCACAAGTTAGCTATTTCCTCGGGCCTAGCGCATATACTTTTTGCGACCTAGGTATCAGTGGGCTCTTTCTTGTTGAGCCGTTAAGTGTACATTTTCAGCGGTTTCAAATTGAAAATCAATCTGACATGCGCGACCTGAATTGCCATTAAGGTGCGTTTTGATAGCACACGTAAATTCGCTTCGTTGATTTCAGTTTTCGATCTAAATCCTTATACTTCAGCAGTCTCAATTTTCCAGTGGCGATCAGGGTAATTTTACACTCTTCAAAGTTTGTATCTAAATCTGTAACAGTCCAACTGACCATAAACGCTAGTGTTCTTTAATCATAGAAAACTCTGAGCAAGGTAAGTGCCATGACACCTGAGCCTGTTATTAATTTTCTTGCCTTAAAAAACGTTCAGTTGTGAATTAAGGTATCGAAACCTGCCCAGACAGTGTGCAATATTTCTTTTGTTCTAGAAAAATGTGATCATTGAGCGAATTTTCAAATGGGGGAATCCAACGAGTGAAACAAAGTCAAATTTTCTTTTAATATTGGTATGCAAATTTGTCGTTACAAACAAAACCTCTTGTGGCGAAACCAAAACAGAAGAAGGAAGAACCACTTCAAGACAAAACAGAAATACACATCATGAGAATACTATAACGTGTTGTCCACGAAAAGTTCGGTAATTTTCACAGGAAAAAAATTGTGATGCAATCCTCGCGAGTCTTTCGTAATAAGACTTCCCATAGGCAACAGTGTTGTCAAGGGGGAGGGGGTAGGGAGTTGGAAAAACTTTGGCAATTCAAATTATATCAGGGTGGTAACTATTTTTGGCAGAGTATTTAATAAACTGCAGACAATAAAGGCTTTCTGAAACCAAAGCTTTTTAAGGGTTGAGTTATTCGTGATGCAATCAGCACTAGACCACAATTTACTCTTATGGCAATCCAGTTTAAACGAAATCAACTCAGGATTATCACTAATCAGTTCAAAAGAAACTGAAAATGGGAATTGATAAGATGATCTTGGGATTTCATCACCAGTTTTTGGTTTTCATCAGGAATTATTTTTGAGAAAGTAATATTCAAACAATATTTGAACTCCTGCCCCCTCTACTTCTCCTTATTTTCTCCTAGATTCTCAATATGAACATTCTTGGATTCCATTGTTTGTGTTTTTTTTTGTTTTTTTTAAATACAATCTTGTTCAAGTTTGCCTTTCCCCACTTTTTTTTTTTTCAGATAATAATAATGCTGATTGAAGAACTTTCTCACGATACGTTCAAGCAACTGTGTACCTCCTTAAATGATGGACTCGGCACTGGCTACATAGCTCTAATGATGAAGGGCTTTCCTGACCTTTATTCCCACGTGGATGTAACTGAGATTAAGAGGTTTAGGAATCCAGCTGAAAAATTACTCTGCGACCTAAGCAATCGGCAAATAACAGTGGAAAGGCTCCTAAGAGGTGTGGAAGGAATTGGAAACAGAAAGGCCACAAAAATTATAATGGAAGGTAGAGTATTTTGTTATGCTTTGCTTAAACAGAGTAATAAACATTTTCTTCCATATGCAAATAATTAAGCCACGTGTGAATTAGAAGTGTTTTGTAGAAATACAAATTTTTTTCTAACCTTGGTCCAGCAAATATTGAATTTGAGAATATTTACACAGATGTCACGAAAAGAGGGGAAACTCTTAACTTGCTGGAGGATTATCAATTTTCTCCACGCCACTCCACTGGACAGCCACAGGAGGTATGCATATTGTCTAAATGTGTTATATCTACACAATAACCACTATAACATTCTCAACACTTGTGTCTCCTGAGTATCTTGGCTGACAAATAACAAAGGATTTGGTAAATGATGAAACAGAAAAACAAGGCTCTACACTTTAACATAACTAAAACATAGCCATTTTAAAGGAGTATTTGCATTTAAGCTTAATGTTAGTGATAAATTCATACAACAACCAACATATATAAGAATGTATTAGTAAAGTGTAAAAAAAGTCTAAAGTGGATGCAACCATGTGAGAACCTGTATTTGTGTTTTGGCTTGTTTTCAATTTTTTGAGAGTAAGCTAAGTCATAAATATTGGCTGGTCAATGCTCATATAGATCCAGCAGTATCTTTAATATTTCTTTGTAAATTCAAAATCATATAAGATTCAAGCAATAGAACACTTTTTCCTTGTTTACATAGCTCCATCTGAAGACAATAGAGGGTTACATACTCTATTTTTAACATACCTATTGACCAGTAAGGATATGGATAATATCTCGGTTATATAAAGACATGTCTATTAATCAAAAAGGTTACAAACCCTCAACATAAGCAGTATAAATAATCAAGTGTAAATCCAGTGGTAGTCTCTGCATTCTGTCATAAAAGTAAATTCAATAATTGATAACAACAAATTGTGTAGAAAATACTTGAAATTTTTTCAGAGACTACAAATTGCATTCACCCTTAGGATTTGTACAATTTTGTTGTCTTTGAGAAATTTACTTGTGCTCATTTACACCAAATTGCACTTGAAATCATGCTATTACCTATACAATTTTTTGTTGTAACAAAATAATGTTAACTCCAATGGTACTGATTAGTTACTTCCTTTCATAAACTGATTCAATAGCAATAATTTATCAAATCAGTTTAAAACAATATTTTTACCTCACTCACTCATTCAGGTATGTAGTTGAGTTCTTTAACCCTTTAACTCCTGTGAGTGACCAAGACAGAATTTCTCCTTACTACATCTATATAATATCATGCAGACAAGTGATGAGAATAAAGAAAAATTTCAACTTTCCGATCACTAATTGACCTGATACCAAATTCTCCAAACTTTCATAATGAGAATCGTTTGGCTGACAGTAAGGAGAATTACTAATGAGATCTTGGGAGTTCAAGGGTTGAACATTTTGTTTTCTCCTCATTTAATTCTATAGTATTATATGGTACATGGTTACAGTTGTGGCTGTTAATCAGAATTGAATCAATTTGTGATCTTTGCATTGAATTGATCTTTGCAGCACAGCGATGATGCATTAATGGAAGACTGCTCACCTGCTATACCCTTCCATAAACAAGCCAAAACATACAGAGCTCCTGTTCAGGAAACAGTATTTAATCCTTTGCATTAGAGAAATGAAGATTCTATCATTCAGGAAAGGATGATGTATTCTCATAAGGGAACACGTCTATGTAGTGTAAAACATATGAAAATGATATAACTTAAGTGCTGGTAGTAAAATTTTTTAGAGGCAAAGGTGTAGGATAGTCTTAACAGAGTAGGCGATCAGCTTTTGAAAAATTATTTCGTGTTAAGGGGTCTTTTTTAGCAAGTATGATGGTTTCATTTATTTTCCCAATTGTTTTCGTTGTTGTTGAAATTTCAGGTGTCTTAAAAAGAGAATAATACATTGGCGCGCGTAGATATGGAATTTCTCTTTGTGTTGTGATTTGTGTAACAATAGCACCTTACACCAGTTAGTTCTTAAGCAAGTATCTTGTACAGCTTTTACGGTTACTACTTTAGCTTTTACTGTGGCGTGATGTATGTTAGAGTGCTCTACGAATAAAAGTCTACTGTGGAACCAAAACGCTGTCTCATCCTTGACGTTCGTACAAGCTCGCTCGAAGTAGATCTCCGTTTACCGGGAAATCGTGCCGAGTTTCCGTTCTCGCCAGCCGAGTGGCCTCTATTGAGTTATTTTCAGACACAGAATGTTTACAATTTTCTGTAAACGGAGAGTTGCTGGCTTATGAAACCGGAGTTGACAGCTAGAGTATAAAGAAAACCTGGATTAGTAGATAAAGGAGTATCATACCGAAAGAGAGGACATGTAAAATGCAATTACCTGTTTTGCGATCATCTACTAGGGTACCTGCTTAGTTCATTAAATGGGGGACGGGGGGAGGGGTGTGAACGGAAACTGACATACTGCTCAAGTACAATGTACCGGTCTTCCGTAAAGCTGTTGCTTTTCAGGGCTATATCCTTTTTCCAGCAATCGAGCACGTTATGACGGCAATGCAGTATGTATGACAAAATGAAAGTGTACTTTTTTGCCACAGGTACAACTGGACTATGGTTTCCTTCCCGAATGAAAAAACTATCCTAACTAGCCATCTTATAATCAACACGTGCTTGCAGCGTGTAGCTGCTCAGTGATTATTTTATCCATGTATGCCTCCTCTGTGTGTCTCTTAGAAATACCGGAAGTTCGTCCAAATAGAAGTTCGGAATCGATATTTTTGTAACACTTGAGTCAAATGTTGGAGATTTAAACCTCCTTTAAGTAAAGATTCTTGCTTAAAGGTATTGAGGAAACGTTATTTAATCGCCCAAAATCGTAAAGACGAAGGAGACATCGATGAATACAGATCCTTTCGGCATATTTGGACCGTTGCGCCGAGTAGTCATCAGGACATGAGAAGAGGTTACGCAGATTTAAGCACGTGGTGATCCCAGCTTTACAAAAACTTATTCTTTGCAAGAAAATTCTGTGTGTTATTGGGATAGTCCACTCATGATATTATTAGTTTAGGACAGGAGTGGCTCCTGCTCAGGGTTGGCTTATTGCTCTGATTTTCCTAATCTATCATAATCCTCTATTTCTAATGTCTTTGACTACAGTCGTTTTTTATCTGAACAGCTTAGCTAAGTTACAAACACTTCCGCGTATGAGGAATTTTTTAAAGCGATGATGCGTGAAAAAAGTCATTTCTCATGAGGTTAAGGTATGGTCTTACAGAACAATCTCAAAATAGAAAGTGCACATTGTTGACATGATCTTCAAGACATCCAAACGATTGCAAAAGATTAACCAATGATTCATGTCTCTTCGCAGTGATGGTGTTAATGCCGTCAATCCTGTTGCCAGGTGCGTCGAAGTTTGTTCCGTCCCAGATTACTGCTGCATCGTTTGGCATTGCGCCCTTCCGGAAGTGGAGCCAGCGCAGAAGCGAAAGGGTAAAATTAAACCACTTTTGCCACTCATAAAGGACAATTGCAATTAAACAAAGATAATGACACTTTCCTCAAATTCTAAAACGAAAGGATCGACGCGATGAACCGTATGCATGCGCGAGCATCATGGGCAAATTTCTACTGGTGGCCATATCTATAACTATCCTACCAAGGCTTCATGATAATTTTTTCAGAAAGAATGGACATTATTTGATAATAACCATCCTACTAGCGAATGCAAAAGCATTGCAGGAAATGTTTGATGCAATTTTTAGGCTACAAAAGCACCCCCAGAGGAGTTTGTAACCCATTGATTTCTTCATTATCTCTACTTTTATGACGCCCGGAACTTATTTTACTGTGAGATTTTTGAATAAATAACAAATGGCCATAATTTATGTCGCTTTCAACATGCGTTAAAAATCTCATAAGTTCAGTCTAGTTTTAGTTTATCCGCCTGATCAAGCGCTGGAAAAGGATGATAGCGCACTACCAGGAGACTTGCAATATTCTCTCCTGAGGTCAGTTATTATACAGGCCTCGAGCACTTTCAACTGAGTTTGCTTTGCAGACCTTTTGCAATCGAGTCCTCGTTTAGTGACGCATTAGACTATGTTGAAAAACTTCTGGCTTTACTTTGAAAGAGACACGAGAACAGAGCATATATGAAGAAGAAGTGAGTTGGGCTTGTACTCTTAAGTTAATGTTCATTTCCAAGGTGGTGGATTGAACTAGGTATATTTGGCTCGATTTGAGATGGCACCATGTAAATAATTTACCTTACTTCCCTTTACGAATACTTTCTTTGTGAATACTTTCTATAAGTGTTTATAATGGCTAGATCTGAAGGAGACAAGAAAATCAACAAGCCTGGAAGAGCAGATGGTAGAAAATTGTTTCTCTACATTCGAAGATGTTGAGAGTTGAGTCATTAGAGGAAAACTGTGAACTTGCCCCGAAGGATTGGAGTAATTTCAAGATCCCAACCGGAGTCTTGCTCAGCTATTGGCCAAAAGGTACGTTAAAAATTGTGTTATTAACTGGAATACTACGTTCTCAGGATAAAGTGTTGTGTATGAATAGCTACAATCGTCCTACCGTATTTATTCGTACATTACAGTAACGCTCGCGTATACATTAACCAAAAATGCGAATAAAACGCGCCAAAAATCGAATGCAATTGTGAATAAAAAAAAAAACGTGCGCCTCAAAAAATCGCGCGCATAAGCTTGATAATCTGCCTCAATAGTATGTATGCGGTAGTCCTTTTGTTTTTCTATTGTTGGCGGTTTATCGTTTTAAAGAACAGACTACAATGTTATAGCACTAAAGTACTAAACGGCTACCAACAACAAGCAAACTTGTTCGTCTCAATCACCGTTTGCACCGACCTTCCCGATATGCTGTTACCAATGCGACTTCGTAATCGGAATATATAAATGATTTATCATTTCCCAACGGAATTTTTTTACGCAAAATAGGTATTTCTCACTTCGTATAAAAAAAACATCCGTCGTAACGGCTTGGGAATTTGTTCAAAACAAATTTATTCTCAGAGTATCACAATTCGGTAGAATCAGCCGAGGCGTCCATTTGTAACTTGTTGCCGCGCTCTGAATGCAAACCCACACGCAAATGCTTATTTCATAGCTTCTTCTCATCAGTGAACATGCTGTTCTCGAAAACTGGTTCATTTATCTCACCATTTAAACAAAAACTAATAAATTCTACTCGCTTATAAATACTCACTAATAAATTCTACTCGCTTTATTTTAATGGTGTTGTGTTACGGTATGGTTACCGTATGCGACTCGCATGTAAATTTTTTATGGGAACCAGATTTGTTTCTCGTTTTGATTTTTGTCAAATCATTGATTAACGTTCACCAGATTTCTTGAAAGCAGGGAGGGAAAAATTAACTGCAGGCAAAACATTAATACGCAATAATCAAACTTGTGTCAGTAATCAAACTTTTGTCGGTAATCCAAGACTTATGCAGAAGTAGTGGCTCCTAAAGGAGCCGTTTGTTTATTAAGGAAGCTGCTAGTAGCCCGACGCTCCTCCTTCATGTTGGGCTACAGCAGGAAAACTTTTTGGAGGTGGCTAATGTATTTGCAGCACTTGGCAGCATTCAATTCCTTTCATCCGGCTCTTAAATATACCTGGAAAATTTCCGACACTTCTTTGGCTTTTCTAGACATCAAAATTTCAATTGAAGGTAACGGCTTATGTACTAGTGTTTACTACAAACCTACAGATTCACATACACTGTAAAATTAAAAGAGTTGATTTGGCCCCAAAAATGGGGCCAAAACGAGTGAGTCCAGTTTGGCACTCGCTTAGGGTCAATTCGGCCCCATTGAAATGGGGCTGTTTTTGGCACCAATTTTGGGGCTGAATTGACCCCGTTGTAGGGGCCAAATTGGACCATGTGAAGGGTGAATTTGAAAAATACAGGGGCCACTTTGAAATTTATAGGGGCCAAAACAGCCCCCGAAATTTCAGCTCTCTCACAAATGGCCCCTTTAAAAAGAGCCAATTCAGCTCCAATGTGGGCCACTTCAGAAGTAGAGGGCTCTTTCCTCTCCATGCTGATTTTCCCCCTTACATTCAAATAATGAAAATACACCACATACTTTATCTTTCAAACACTCATTTATTAGGTTCTAGATATTGTTTATGTAAAAACCTTTTATGCTACCTGATTTTACAGTTATTAAGAATCTTAATTGTGGTATAAAACAGACAAACTTTGAAACATCATGTGAAAGAATATAACATACATACATATTTAACATCAATTCAACCATTTTCTAAAATAGATCTCTTCCCTAAATCAGTATACTTCTTAACAGTGCAAGCATTGCAAGAAATTACACCCAAGAGACACTTGTGAGTAAAGCTTCCCTTTTCAATGACTTAGCAAATGTGGTAATGTAAAGCAGCTTATAATTAAGACTGATTTAAAGTACAGAAAATTATCAAAATAAGACAGAGGCAACAAATGGTCCAGTTCCTGCACAAGAATATAGATCTTGTTTGATTTGTGCATATGAAAAACAAAGAGCCTTAGAGCAGCAAAGAGTATTCTTCCAGTGGATGTGAGAATACATGCACTCATATTGCTACTTTAGATATTATCAAAATATAAACTATCAGCAAGTACTACCGCAGGCATTTGCCAAGTCATTGAAAATAGAGGAAACAGTGACAAGAGTCTGCCTGTGCCCAATTTCAAGCAATGCTTGCTCTAAAAAAGTCAAAATTGCCTTTGACCGATTGTAAGAAAATATAAATGAGCCAAGTAACCCAATGAGAGCATCAAGAATCTTTTCTTGTGAGAAGTGACAAATTACACTTCCCTATGTTACTATATTCAGGTGATTGATGTATTGAAGATCTCCAACAATTAAAATTTGTGCTGGACATAATCTCTGATTGCTGAATCAACATCAGCTACTCTATGCAATAAAAACAAGTTTTACAACCACATTAAAATCAAGCCAAAGTGCAAAAAGTGCCTGTAGCCAGAAAAAAAAAAGAATATATATATACACACTTAAGTTAAAGAATTAAAGAGGACGCATCAATTCTCTGTGACTGAGATTTGTGCCTAAGCGCTTGTCAGACAGAAAAGTTCTGTCTGGTGCGAAATTCAGAGTCACAGAGAATTGATGTGTCCTCTTTAATTCTTTAACTTATTTATACTTAGCTCTGCTACCACAGCATTGAGCACTTTATGCCAAGGTAGACTCTACCCCCACATTTACATATATATATATATATATATATATATATTGTTTTTCTAAAACTATAAGCTAAAACACCAGAAATGGAAGTGGAAGTTTAGCTCAATGTGTGTAATTTGTCTCCCATTCAAGACTCGAAAAACTAATGTATGACTCCCTAAATATCTAAAAAAAAATCAGCTATTCTATGTCCAATATTTATCTAATGGTTTGACAACAGGAATATTTTAAAAAATTGCAAAATCAAGAAAACTAAACAAAAAGGCAAAATTGATACAACCCCAAAGTACTTGAACCTTTGTATCTGGACTTCATTGGCAAATGGGCTCAGAAATTTTAGCTGTTCATCTTAGTACCAAAGTAGCAGTTTTTTGGACTTATACCTCCAAAATGGTCACAACTTCATTAAATGCATGTGATGACAAACACACAAGAACAAAGGTCATGAATTTAAAAGGTGAGAGTGATTATTTTGCAACTTTTTAGTTTAAGGCAAGAGATTCAGCACCACAAAATTGTCTCTCTTCACTACAAGCAGAAGAGGTGAAGCAATAGATTTTTAGACCATACCAATCCATTCAGTTTCCAAGTCAACTTAGTCTAGTATCCTGCTAACCATACAAGGATACTCTGCAATAATTTTGCAATCCATTGTTGCTCAGAGTACTTTAGGCTGCTGATGAGATATCCCTTCTGGGTATCCAACTCTACTGAGGCAGAGAACTGTACAAAAAAACAAACAAATGAGCAAATTAATTTGTTGTTGGAGAACAGTAAATTTTTGCAACTACAAAGTTGCAAAATATTTGTAAGCAAACTGTGCATAAGAAGTAAAAACACAATAATGGTGATCATCAATGATGTATTTTCACCAAACTGTATATGTACTTATCAAGAAAAGAAATCATACCTCTATGCACTTCAGTTTTAGTTCAGTATTCATGAATAAATAAGGATTGCTTGTAGACTTAAAAAAACAAAACAAATAAAAGTTTCTTACCCTCGATGGTAGTTGGAATTTTGAAAGCCATTCAGGAGGAACCTGTAGGTAAATATTTGTTTTCAAAAAAATTAAACTGTCTAATAACATCCTATCAATTCACTAATTTTTTAATTTACCAGATTTAAAAATTGGGTTTACTTTGTTTTATGCATGGTGCAAGTAAATACATATCTAATATATTTCAATAAAAATAAAGCAAATCTCGCCATTTTTGTAGGTGCAATCTCCGAGATTTGTCATCTTTAACCGACCAACTGGCACCTTGTGTGTTTTCCTTTAGGATATAATCGAAAGAAAGTAATCGATAATGTACTCTTCACCATCCTGCTAAGTTTAACATACAAGAACTTACTTAGACAGTGCTCAGTTCTGTCGCCTCGTCCGTAAAACAGAGATCCTTGGGCGATTTACCCTTTTCTTTCGGTGCCAATGTCACCTCTAAATTTTCATAATCGCTGATGTTATCTGAATCATCAATCGACGTTTGAACCGTCTCACTCGAAGGACTTGATTCTGCACGCTGAAAGAGTGAGAGCCAAAAAATCAGCTTAAGTGGATGCAAACAAAGACATAGACATAAAAATATCAGTTCATCTTTTCAAGAAAAAGATTAAGAATTCAGAGTGAGAGATCCTAAAATCAGAGAATCTTGAAATAAGTTAAATCCATCTTGTGCAAAAGCAGTATTCGAACTGTAACCGTCTCTATCTCTCGGCGCCAAAACTTGATCACGTGACTTTAGTTGCGAAACCGCTGAGACTCAACAAGACTCGGGAGAAGAGGCGAACCATTCATGCGTCAAATTCTCTGGTGGGAAAATTAATTATCGTACCGACGAAGAACTCGTGTCATCTCTAGGTTCAGCATTCATTGCAATCAATTTCTTGAGCTTTAGACGCTCTTTTATAATAGGGATGTAGTGCCTTGGTACGTCTGCATCTTGGGTGATGGCAAGGAGATCTTGGCCATCGCAACCGTCTTTTTCTGCAAGATAAGATACGAACAAAGATCAACGGAGCGGTCAAGTTTGTGAAAGTAAAGTTGCAGTAAAATACGTTGTTAAGAAATTTCTTTTGCCTACCTTTCCTTTCTTAAGTCTCATTACATGCGACTGTAGCCAAGAAACAGCCTCTTCTGTGACGAATTCGCTCCTATGATTCATTATTGTTTCCGACGCACGTGGTTTAGGTTCGACTAATGCCATCACAGGCAGCTCACGCTCACGTCTCGAGAAAAAGCCAACGATTAATTCGTTGTGTGACTCGGTGTTCAGTTACGAGAGGAACCGTTGAAAATTTGAACACTTTATAAGGAATAGTATAGGGAACGAAATATGGTCGAAAAAAGAAAATTATTTTTATATTTTCTTTTTTTTTTCAAAAATTGCACCTCGTTGGGGCCAAATTGGTCAATCCTACTTGGCTCTTGGAAGGGCCGAATTGAGAAAAAGTTCCAAAGTAGAATTCATAGGGGCCAATTCAGATTTTGGAGGGGTCGAAATGGTACCTGTCCCGCCCGTTTTGGCTCAAATAGTCCAAAACGAACCTTGATGGGCCAAACTGGCCCTCGAGAAATTGGGGCCAATTTGGCTTTTGGGGTCAATTTGGCTCTTTTCATTTTACAGTGTAGTTACTTGTTGTATTCATCTTCACATCCATCACACCTCAAGAACTCCATACCTTTTTCACAGTTTCTCAGACTTCGTCGTTTATGTAGTGACGACTCTGATTTTTCCGAAAAATCAGAGACAATGTGCCAGTTTTTCGATAAACGTGGCTATCCTGTTTCTGTCGTTCAAGCGGGCCACCACCGTGCCCAACAAATCGATCGACAGTCAGCACTACAAACGGCTGAGAAGGAAAACACTGACCGCATTTCATTTTCTCTTACATTTCACCCTCACAACCACGCAGTTAAATCTATCATTCTTAAAAATTTTAAATTACTCCAAAACGATTCGGAGACTGGCACTATCTTTTCGCAACCCCCACTTATTTCATTTAAACGTGACAAAAACATAGGCAACATTTTAGTCAGGAGTTCATTTCAAACCAATGAACAACCTGGAACTTTTAAATGCACTCGCTCACGATGCAAAACTTGTCCTTTCATTCATAACGTAGAGAAAATATCGGGACCCAAGAGATCCATTAAGATCATTGATCACTTTACGTGTACCTCCGCAAATGTTATTTACTGCATAACTTGCACTTATTGCAATAAGTTATACATCGGCGAAACAGGAAGACGACTAGGTGACCGATTCTGAGAACACCTTCGCGACGTGGAAAGAAATGACAAGGACGCATCCAAACAGCATATGGCAGTTTGCGGCCTTTCCTTACATCTAGGCAGTTCGGAAAGCCGTAAAACACTAGAACAAAAATTTATCTTCCAAATCGGCATCCTTAATCCCCACGCAATCAATGAGCGCTTTTCATTCAACTAATTTATTCCTCTTTTCTCGTCACCATATTCCCACCAACGGCGTAGCTCCACTTTCTGCATCTAAACCCACACACAACCCACAATTCCTCCAATCGCTCTGACGAAGGGCTAACGCTCGAAACGTCAGCTTTTTTACTCTTTACGGGGCTAATTTACGTTTTCAACCCAGTTGTTAACACTAAATTACCTGCTATACTCTCCCACCGACGCAGCACCACAGTTTCTTTAGAAACTAACCCCTTTATTCATTCATTTTAAAGGCATTTGTTTTTTAATTTGTGCAATATGTGAAGCTTGCTCCAGTAAAAACCAATTTGTGAACCAAATGAAACCTTCCGAGCAATTTGGAAGAATTTTTTCTGGCTGGTCAGCCTTTTCCGAAAGTTTCCGAAAAAAAAAAAAAAAGAAAATTAATTATAACCCGATTTCTGCCTGTTCGACTCTTGCTGAATAACGAAGGGAATGTAAACTGATATTTAAGAATCAAGAATAGAATTTGATGGGGTATCTGATTATTCAGTTTAAAAAAAAATGCATTTTCAGAATCGTGCAGATAATTTGCCAAACTTTTTGCAGTTGTAGTTGCGATAACAGCTCCCTAAATCTTTGGTTCTTCCACTTCAGGAACTAACTGTGAGGGAAACTCTCAACTGTGTACTCACTGCTTTTAAAATTCTATCAGGCCAAGGCAAATAGATCGCTTTTAGTTTTGCTCTTTTTTTCTTTTTATTGAGTGGCTTTTGTTAGCACCATTTTGAAGTTATTTCTCGTTCTGTTTTGACACTACTTCTCATGAACTTTTTCTCCTCACTTCAGGGGAAGCTCTGAACATCGATCCTCGAGAGTTCTACAGAATGTTGTACTTGTCACTTCTGCAAATTCATGCAGGTAAGAGCTGAGGGAATTGAGTTACTTCCCATTTTGCTGGAGCAGTACACATCATGGAGCATTGTCAGGTTTGTTCAAACTATGCTCATGAAGTCGTTGTTGCATACAGAGGAGCTCCGGTCCTCCAGAGTGCTCTTAGAGAATAACCCGGGAGTACAACCCTCCGTGTGTTTCGGCCTTAATAAAGAACAAGCTTAGTGCATGGTAGAGCATTGAAGCCTTCCTGATATGACTAATCGTCGTTGATTCGCTCTCTAATTGGCTTCATTGGTGTAGAGTGATAGCTCAGGTGTGTTTATAACTACAGTCTAGTAATGCTGTTGTTGGGCCTGAAGCTTTGCAACCTGCGAGAAACTTACGAATCATTATCACTTTTCATGACAAAACCTACCGATTAGCTGTGACGTGAGATTAGCCGTACCCTTTGTTACGAAAGCGGGGAGAGGGAGTATTTGGTGTCGTTTGGCGTAGTTGAGGGCAAAGAGAGTGAAGAGAGGGGGATACAGCCGCCACCGCTTTTCGTGTGTTTTTCAACGTGTTGGTAGACTATGGTACCCACTCAGACAATCACACCAAAGGAACTTCCTTACTATGTTAGTAACTTACTGTTTTCAATTTAGACTTTTTTTTTCGTATTTCTTTTTTATATATGTGTATATTTTTTATTTTTCCGTGCAAGGCGGTAGCAGTCAAGATGTACCAGTAGCACTGCAGTGCCTGGAGGAAATGCTAAAGAAGCGACGCAAGCAGGTAATCAGTTGTATTTATCAGAACTTTACATACAAATGTTTGTGCAGTAGTCTGTTTGCGCAGTAAGGCTAATTAAACAATCTTACATATACATTGCTTTTAATGGCTTAGAAACAATTTTCTCATTGACATATCAAAATTTGACCGGTTGGTTGATTGATTGATTGATTGATTGATTGATCAATTGACCAATTGACGTTTTCTAATTCAGGCAGCGATTTGGGTGGATGGCTTAGGGTAACTTTTTAGTCACACGAAAGCGCAAGCCCTACTTGACAGTGAAAGCATGGGCACTGGTGTGTTTAGACCTGACGTAAATGACCCAGAGCTAAGCAATGCAGACACCTCGACCGTTTGGGAATTGGCTTTGTTGGGAACTGAGCTCTTCCATCCAGCTGTTCGCTCGGTGGCCCATCATGCTGCAGAAGGAGCGCCAAGTAAAGTCTCCGGCTCTTCTATGATGAGGATGTGAGTAGTATATGGTTATGTGTCTTTTAATTCTTTTACGAAAGTTTACTTAAATATTCCGCAAGAGATGGTCTCGTGCAAAATGGACATTTTTTACTGATGAGAGAGCGACTGTTATAGTAGCTGTTGCTTTGACAGTAGCCCTGAATGTTACTGGAACTGGTATTTCTCATTAGCCATCTACTTTACCGTTCAAAGTTTGCTTTCATTCGCGAAGGAAATCATAGTCCAGTTTCATAGTCCAAAGTACACTTTCATTTTGTCATACATACTGCATTGCCTTCATAACGTGCTCGATTGCTGGAAAAAGCATATAGCCCTGAAAAGTAACAGCTTTACGAAAGGCCGGTACATCATACTTGAGCATTATACTAAATGAACTAATCAGGTACCTCAGTAGATGATAATAAAGCAGGTAACTGCATTTTACATCTCCTCTCCTTCGGTATGATATTCCTTTATCTACTAATCAAGGTTTTTTTTTTATACTCTTGCTGTTAACTCCGGTTTCGTAAGTCAGCAATTGTCCGTTTACAGAAAATTGTGCACATTCTGGGTCTGAAAAACGCAACGTGAAGTCTTGATGAGCTTGCGGACCCGGTCTTCTCGATATGGAGTCTTTTGCACCAATTATTAGACCTTAGGGGGTAAGGACCATATACTGGTTTCGACGCCATCTTTATGGGTAGGAAAACGCGTTAGGAAGAAGAGTTTTTTGCGTGGACCAGACTTTTGAAAACCTTGAATACTTGACAATGAAAAAAATTCAACCGGTTAATTCCAGTACAGGGAGGGTCCTCATATTTGATCAGTAATATCCGTCGGCTTGTATCGGAAGTTCAAGATCTCTGCATATTTCAGGATTGAATGTTTTCAAAGCTTGTTTCACATAGACATCTAATAAAAAGCAACTTTGTTTTTGGCGTGGTTGTCTCCCGTGTTCATGATCTCTACAACAGTGGTGACGCTCAGTTACTAGATACCTCGTATGTGCCAAATTGTAACGCAGCCATTTAAGATAATGAATTAATTCGGTGTCTTTCCATAGGTCACCCAACGGTTTCTGGACAAAGTATGACCCATCCGATATGAAACTTAATCTTGATTTAAAAGAGGGTGCACTGAACAAGAAAGGAATCAACTTAAAAAGGATAAAACACATGGAAATGAAGAATTTAAAAACTACGATTTGGTATCAGCAGTTAAAGAAGCGCTGGACTTTACTGAAGCTAGTTGTGGATTAAAATTCTCTTTACCAAAGCTAAACGCTGACAGGTAGCATCAATAGTTGTCAGGACTTAATTTTCATTTAAATCATCGGCGTAGGTCGGGAAATAATCAGGAATCTATTTCATTCAAGTCAGCGAGATAGGATTTTGAGGAAAAGTTACGGAAAATTAACATTTAAATACTGTCTCAGTAACATTTTCTGTCTTCATCCATTTTAAACCAACCACAGCAGAATATCGCGTTTAGTGAGTGACACGTGACCTGTCGAAACTTTTCGTCAAATAAAGGTTAAGCAATGTACAGTAAAAGCATCACGATGTATTAAAACGGGTGACTACCCCATAACACATACTTAAGTACTTTATTGTTCAAGCTTTTCTCGTATTCTCTAGTTATATTTATTGTTAAGAATACTCACTATCTTGTGGAAAATTACCGTCACCGACAAAATTTGTCTCCACATAGATTCTCACAAAGTTAGGTGTACGGGTTTCATCGGCAGAATTGAGTTATTTTTTAGAAAGATCTCTCTGTTAGCTCTGTATGCTACTTTTAACTCCGGAGCAAAAACCCTGGAGTACTATCGACAATGCAGCGAAATTACTCAATTCAAAAGACAAATTAAACAATCTGAAACGATTTTTTTCTCCACTTGCAGCTGGTTTTAGTACACGAACCCACCGACAGCGTAAACTATTGTACCTCCAATGCTTCACGTTTTATTTATAATGAAATACTTAGCCTCCGTTTCCTAACTTCATCTTGAAAGAAAACTTAAAACAGATTATGGCAAAGACGAACTAATTAAAATCTCCATATTAGGCTCGTTCCTTTACTGAAAGAAAAAGTCGAATCAATCAGAACAGTCGCCTGAAAATAAGAAGACCTCAGAAAGGCCATAAGTCATCTCGCGTCAAAACAAGATGCCATTAAGCCGTCGCATAGTTAACTATCCCGCACATGCAATCTCTTCCAGGAGAACATTAACCAAGGAAGCAAAACACAATGTCTGCGCATAAGTTAACTATTTCCTCGGGCCTAGCGCGTATACTTTTTGCGACCAAGGTATCAGTGGGCTCCTTATTGTTGAGCCGTTAAGAGTACATTTTCAGCGGTTTCAAATTGAAAATGTCAATCTGACATGCGCGAACTAAATTTCCACCCACGAGGTACGTTTTGAGCGTACACGTAATCCAAGAAAGATTTGTGTCGTTTAGAAAATTCGCTTTGTTTATTTCACTTTTCGATCTAAATCCCTATACTTCAGCAGTCTCAATTTTCCAGTGGCGATCAGGATAACTTCACACTCTTCAAAGTTTGTATGTAAATCTGTAACAGTCCAACAGTTTCACATTTATTCCATAGACACTTGAGTTCTTTAATCAAAGAAGACTCTGGGTAAGGTAAGTGCCATGACATTATTAATTTTCTTGCCATAAAAAAACGTTTAGTTGTGAATTTAGGTATCGAAACCTGCCCAGATAGTGCAATATTTCTTTTGTTCTAGAAAAATGTGATCATTAAGCGAATTTTCAAATGGGGGGAATCCAACGAGTGAAACAAAGTCAAATTTACATTTAATGTTGGTATGCAAATTTGTCGTTACAATCAAAACCTCTAGTGGCGAAACCAAAAAAAAGAAGAAGGAAGAACCACTTCAAGACAAAACAGAAATACACGTCATGAGAAAACTATAACGTGTTGTCCACGAAGAGTTCGGTAATTTTCACGGTAAAAAAATTGTGATGCAATCCTAGCGAGTCTTTCGTAATAAGACTTCCCATGGAAAACAGTGTTGTCAAGGAGGGGGTAGGAAGTTGGAAAAACTTTGGCAATTCAAATTATATCAGGGTGGTTATTATTTTTGGCAGAGTATGAAGTAAACTGCAGACAATAAAGGCTTTCTGAAACCAAAGCTTTTTAAGGGTTGAGTTATTCGTGATGCAATCAGCACGAAACCACAATTTACTCTTATGGTAATGCAGTTTAAACGAAATCAACACAGGAATAGCACTAATCGGTTCAAAACAAACCAAAAATGGGAATTGATAAGATGATCTTGAGATTTCATCACCAGTTTTTGTTTTTAGGAATTATTTCTGAGAAAGTAATATTCAAACATTATTTGAGCTCCTGCCCCCTCTACTTCTCCTGATTTCCTCCTAGATTCTCAATAGGAACATTCCATTGTTTGCGGTTTTTTTTTTTTTACAATCTTGTTCAAGTTTGCCTTTCCCCACTTTTTATTTTAGAAAATAATAATCCTCCTTAAATGATGGACTCAGCACTAACTACGTAGCTCTAATGATGAAGTGCTTTCCTGACCGTTATTATCTCGTGGAGGCAACTGAGATTAAAAGGAGTAGGAGTCCAGCTGAAAAATTACTCCATGACCTAATCAATTGGCAAATAACAGGCTCCTAAGAGGTGTGTAAGGAATTGGAAACAGAAAGGCCACAAAAATTATAATGGAGGCTAGAGTATTTTGTTATGCTTCGTTTAAACGTTTTCTTCCATTTGCAAATAATTAAGCCACATGTGAATCAGAAGTGTTTTGTAGAAATACAAATTTTTTTCTAACCTTGGTCCAACAAATATTGAATTTGAGAATATTTACACAGATGTCATGAAAAGAGGGGAAACTCTTAACTTGCTGGAGGATTATCAATTTTCTCCACGCCACTCCACTGGACAGCCACAGGAGGTATGCATATTGTCTTAATGTGTTATATCTACACAATAACCACTATGATGTCTCAACACTTGTGTGTCCTGAGTATCTTGGCTGACAAATAACAAAGGATTTGGTAAATGGTAAACAGAAAAACAAGGCTCTACACTTTAACATAACTAAAGCATAGCCATCTTAAAGGAGTATTTGCATTTAAGCTTAATGTTAGTGATAAATTCATATAACAACGAACATATATAAGAATGTATTAGTAAAGTGTAAAAAAAGTCTAAAGTGGATGCAACCATATGATCACCTGTATTTATGTTTTGGCTTGTTTTCAATTTTTTGTGAGTAAGCCAAACCATAAACATTGGCTGCTCAATGCTCATATAGATTCAGCAGTATCTTTAATATTTCTTTGAAAATTCAAAATTATATAAGATTTAAGCAACAGAACACTTTTTCCTTGTTTACATAGCTCCACCTGAAGACAAGAGGGGGTTACATACTCTCTTTTTAACATACCTATTGACCAGTAAGGATATGGATAATATCTCGGTTATATAAAGACATGTCTATTAATCAAAAAGGTTACAAGCCCTCAACATAAGCAGTATAAGTAATCAAGTGTAAATCCAGTGGTAGTCTCTGCATTCTGTCATAAAAGTAAATTCAATAATCAATAACAACAAATTGTGTAGAAAATACTTGAAATTTTTTCAGAGACTACAAATTGCATTCACCCTTAGGATTTGTGCAATTTTGTTGTCTTTGAGAAATTTACTTGTGCTCATTTACACCAAATTGCACTTGAAATCATGCCATTACCTATACAATCTTTTGTTGTAACAAAATAATGTTAACTCCAATGGTACTGATTAGTTACATCCTTTCATAAACTGATTCAATAGCAATAATTTATCAAATCAGTTTAAAACAGAATGTTTTTACCTCACTCGCTCATTCAGGTATTTTAGTTGAGTTCTTTAACACTTTAACTCCTGTGAGTGACCAAGACAGAATTTCTCCTTACTATATCTATATAGTATCATGCAGACAAGTGATGAGAATAAAGAAAAATATCAACTATCATGTTACTAATTGATCTGATACCAAATTCTCCAAACTAACATAATGAGAATCGTTTGGCAGACAGTAAAGAGAATTACTAATGAGATCTTGGGAGTTCAAGGGTTGAACATTTTGTTTTCTCCTCATTTAATTCTATAGTATTATATGGTACATGGTTACAGTTGTGGCTGTTAATCAGAATTGAATCAATTTGTGATCTTTGCATTGAATTGATCTTTTCAGCACAGCGATGATGCATTAGTGGAAGACTGCTCACCTGCTATACCCTACCAGTAAACAAGCCAAAACATACAGAGCTCCTGTTCAGGAAACAGTATTTAATCCTTTGCATCAGAGAAATGAAGATTCTATCATTTAGGAAAGGATGATGTTTTCTCATAAGGGAACACATCTTTGTAGTGTTAAACATATGAAAATGATATAACTTAAGTGCTGGTAGTAAAATTTTTTAGAGGCAAAGGTGTAGGATAGTCTTAACAGAGTAGGTGATCAGCTTTTGAAAAGTTATTTCGGGTTAAGGGGTCTTTTTTAGCAAGTATGGATGTTTCATTTATTTTCCCAATTGTTTTCGTTGTTGTTGAAATTTCAGATGTCTTAAATAGAGAATAATACATTGGCGCGCGTAGATATGGAATTTCTCTTTGTGTTGTGATTTGTGTAACAATAGCACCTCACACCAGTTAGTTCTTAAGCAAGTACCTCGTACAGCTTTTACGGTTACTACTTTAGCTTTTACTGTGGCGTGATGTATGTTAGAGTGCTCTACGAATAAAAGTCTACTGTGGAACCAAAATGCTCTCTCATCCTTGATGTTAGCACAAGCTCGCTCGAAGTAGATCTCCGTGTACCAGGAAATCGTGCCGAGTTTCCGTTCTCGCCAGCCGAGTGGCGTCTACCGAGTTATTTTCAGACCCAGAATGTTTACAATTTTCTGTAAACGGACAAACAAAAATAATGACACTTTCCTCAAATTCTAAAACGAAAGGATCGACGCGATGAACCGTATGCATGCGCGAGCATCATGGGCAAAATTTCTACTGGTGGCCGAAACAACTATCCTACCAAAGCTTCATGATTATTCTTTCAGAAAGAATGGACATTATTTGATAATAACCATCCTACTAGCGAATGCAAAAGCATTGCAGGAAATGTTTGATGCAATTTGTAGGCTACAAAAGCGCCCCTAGAGGAGTTTGTAACCCATTGATTTCTTCATTATCTCTACTTTTATGACGCCCGGAACTTTTTTACTGTTTTTACTGTTTATGTCGCTTTCAACATGCGTTAAAAATCTCATGAGTTCAGTCTAGTTTTAGTTTATCCGCCTGATCAAGCGCTGGAAATGGATGATAGCGCACTACCAAGGACTTGCAATGTTCTCTCCTGAGGTCAGTTATTATACAGGCCCCGAGCACTTTCAACTGAGTTTGCTTTGCAGACCTTTTGCAATCGAGTCCTCGTTTAGTGACGCATTAGACTATGTTGAAAAACTTCTGGCTTTACTTTGAAAGAGACACGAGAACAGAGCATATATGAAGAAGAAAGTGAGTTGGGCTTGTACTCTTAAGTTAATGTTCATTTCCAAGGTGGTGGATTGAACTAGGTATATTTGGCTCGATTTGAGATGGCACCATGTAAATAATTTACCTTACTTCCCTTTACGAATACTTTCTTTGTGAATACTTTCTATAAGTGTTTATAATGGCTAGATCTGAAGGAGACAAGAAAATCAACAAGCCTGGAAGAGCAGATGGTAGAAAATTGTTTCTCTACATTCGAAGATGTTGAGAGTTGAGTCATTAGAGGAAAACTGAGAACTTGCCCCGAAGGATTGGAGTAATTTCAAGATCCCAACCGGAGTCTTGCTCAGCTATTGGCCGAAAGGTACGTTAAAAATTGTGTTATTAACTCGAATACTTCGTTCTCAGGATAAAGTGTTGTGTATGAATAGCTACAATCGTCCTACCGCATTTATTCGTACATTACAGTCACGCTCGCGTATACGTTAACCAAAAAACGCGAATAAAACGCGCCAAAAATCGAATGCAATTGTGAATAAAAAAAAACGTGCGCGTCAAAAAATCGCGCGCATAAGCTTGATAATCTGCCTCAATAGTATGTATGCGGTAGTCCTTTTGTTTTTCTATTGTTAGCGGTTTATCGTTTTAAAGAACAGACTACAATGTTATAGCACTAAAGTACTAAACGGCTACCAACAACAAGCAAACTTGTTCGTTTCAATCACCGTCCATTTGTAACTTGTTGTCGCGCTCAGAATGCAAACCCACACGCAAATGCTTATTTCATAGCTTTTTGTCATGCTGTTCTCGAAAACTGGTTCATTTATCTCACCATTTAAACAAAAACTAATAAATTTTACTAGCTTATTTTAATGGTGTTGTGTTACGGTATGGTTACCGTATGCGACTTGCATGTAAATTTTTTTATGGGAACCAGATTTGTTTCTCGTTTTGATTTTTGTCAAATCATTGATTAATGTTCACCAAATTGCTTGAAAGCAGGGAGGGAAAAATTAACTGCAGGCAAAACATTAATGCGCAATAATCAAACTTGTGTCAGTAATCAAATTTGTGTCGATAATCCAAGACTTATTCAGAAGTAGTGGCTCCTAAAGGAGCCGTTTGTTTATTAAGGAAGCCGCTAGTAGCCCGACGCTCCTCCTTCATGTTGGGCTACAGCAGGAAAACTTTTTGGAGGTGGCTAATGCAGCACTTGGCAGCAGTCACAGAGTCCCAGAACTGATGGATGCCTACAACAAGTTTGTCCTTGTTAGTTGGCTTGACAATGCAATGCGAGAAGGTTTTCAATTCGTGCCAGAGGAGTTCTATGTTTTCGGTTTTCAGATGAATTTTTGCCTTTGACATTGCGATTTACTATAACTTGAACTTTCATCGTTGTATTATGATGCACTCTGCAATCAAACAAATCATCATGTGCGATGCGAAATGAAACTGTTTACATCCTGGTGTGTAAACAATATAGCAAGCGCCGATTAGCGGTTTACATCACTGAACATTTGAGCTTTAATCGATTTGATGAAATAAATCTTGGACTTGATCTGGAAGCAATTTGGTTTAAATTGTCCCAACCGAAATAAAAGAAGTTGTTGATTGGCTCCATCTACAGACCACCGAGTTCGGATATCTCTGCTTTTAATTCAAGTTTAGAAAAGACCCTAAACCACCTTAAAAGTTTCAGTGTATTTTTGGAGAACTTTAACTTTGACTTATCAAAAACAACATCAACCACTAAAAACCTTCAGCAGATAACCAAGTCCTTTTGCCTAAAAAAATAGATCAAAGGATTTACAAGGGTAATGCAGCAGACCAGAACTTTAATTGATTTATTTTTCACCTCAAGGCCAGAGCTCTACTTTGCTGGAATTATACCAGTTGGTTTTTCTGACCATAGTGCCATTTTTGGGATAAGAAGGTTTCATAGGATAAAGTGCTTTCAACAAAAAATTATTGAAACAAGAAATTATAAGCATTACAATCCTGCATTGTTTCGTGAAGACCTAGAACACATCCCCTGGGAAACCATCGAACTTGAAGAGACACCTGAGGGAAGCTGGAATGCCTTCAAGGACCTATTCCTAACAATTGCTGACAAGCACGCACCTATTGTTAGGCGTCGAGTACGTGGATATTCGGTGCCATGGTTAACAAGTGATCTAAAAAAGCTTATAGAAGAATGCGATTATCATCGCAAAAAGGTTCTAATTACAAACAAAGAACTACATTGGAGTAAATATAAGCAGTTACGCAATACTATCAACGCCAAAATGCGTAAAGAGAAAAGTATTACTATTCTAATCAGCTGGTGGATGAACAAGATCCAAAGGTGATCCGGCAAGCATTATATAAAATTGTTCTGAAAAAAATTAAAGCGTTACCTTCATGGAGTGATTGTCTAACAGCCTCAAGTCTCAATTGCTTCTTTACCTAGATTGCTAATACCTTGTACAGCCATTTTAAACGCTGTTCTCTGTCAAAGGTTTTAACACCTAGAGTAATACATGATTTTGTCCTGGAAGAGGTGTCCTTCAGTTTTGTACAAAAAGAACTGCTCAAAATGTAGTCAGCTAAAGCTACTGATCTCGATGGAATGCCTGCTCGGTTATTAAAGGATGCAGCAAGTGAGATATCAAGACCTATTGCCTACCTCATAAATTCATCAATTTCTACCTGTATGATACCATCTGAATTGAAAAGTGCTAAGATAACTCCGATCTACAAATTTGGGGATAAGAGTGACCCAAATAACTATTGCACGATCTCAGTTCTTCCGTTAATTTCTAAAATAATGGAATGTGCAATTCAATTTCAGCTTGTGGCTTTTCTTACAAAAAACAGTTCCTTGTCAGTACATCAATCAAAATTCTGTAAGAAACATTCCATTGAAACTGCTACTGTATACTTTGTTGACCACATCTTAGAACAAATGGATAAACAGAGGATTACTGGATCCATTTTTATAGATCTAAAAAAAGTATTTGACCTAGTGGACCACCACTGTCTGCTGCATAAACTAGAACATTATGAAATTAGAGGGAACAGTCTGAAATGGTTTGAAGATTATCTTATTACTTGAACACAGAAAGTCAAATACAACCAAGATGTGTCATCCAGTTTAACTATCGGCTATGGGGTCCCCCAAGGATCAATACTGGGCCCGATCTTGTTTGTGGTATTCATCAACGATCTCACACAAAGTCTGTTGAAGTCATCAATAGGCATGTACGCTACTTTTCCGACTCCAATGCAGAAATCATCAAGTAGGCTTTACAAAACAATCTAAACAATGTTGAAAAATGGTTAGCAAGCAACAGGCTCGTACTCAATCAGAGTAAGACTAAATGGATGCTGTTTGGTACTTGGTAAAAACTAGAACATTGTTCAGACCACAGAGTACACGGGAAAGAAATTGAAAAGAGTATCAAGCTTTTGTTACTTAGGGGTTACACTAGATGAGAATCTCATGGAACAAGCATGTAATCAAATAACGGGAGCAGTTTGATTTCGAAGCTTAAAACTATCATTGCATTCATTTTAAAGGCATTTGGTTTTTTAATTTGTGCAATATGTGAAGCTTGCTCCAGTAAAAACCAATACGTGAATCAGATGAAACCTTCCGAGCAATTTGGAAGAATTTTTCTGGCTGGTCAGACTTTCCCGAAAGTTTCCGAAAAAAAAAAAGAAAATTAATTATAACCCGATTTCTGCCTGTTCGACTCTTGCTGAATAACGAAGGGAATGTAAACTGATATGTAAGAATCAAGAATAGAATTTGATGGGGTATCTGATTATTCAGCTTAAAAAAAATGCATTTTCAGAATCGAGCAGATAAAATGCCAAACTTTTTGCAGTTGTAGTTGTGATAACAGCTCTCTAAGTCTTTGGTTCTTCCACTTCAGGAACTAACTGTGAGGGAAACTCTCAACTGTGTACTCACTGCTTTTAAAATTCTATCAGGCCAAGGCAAGTAGATCGCTTTTAGTTTTGCTCTTTTTTTCTTTTTACTGAGTGGCTTTTGTTAGCACCATTTTGAAGTTATTTCTCGTTCTGTTTTGACACTACTTCTCATGAACTTTTTCTCTTCACTTCAGGGGAAGCTCTGAACATCGATCCTCGAGAGTTCTACAGAATGTTGTAGTTGTCACTTCTGCAAATTCATGCAGGTAAGAGCTGAGGGAATTGAGTTACTTCCCATTTTGCTGGAGCAGTACACATCATGGAGCATTGTCAGGTTTGTTCAA